CTGGCTCTTTGAGTGGTCACTAGTAGAGCCCTCTGCCAGCCCTCAATGGCAGTGTGAACAGGAACAAAACTTTACCATCAAAAGTCACTGAAACTTGAAATTTGGTTGTTACTGCAGCATGACTTAGCCTGTTGTCATGGTACAAAGGAGACTTTAACATTAGTGTATTTAACGTACTTAATCTCTGTAATTAGAAATCAACGAAAGTTAAAAGATTGCTATTAGAAATTAATCACAGTAAAAGGAAATAATTATATATTTCAGCTGTTATACAACCCTTGATTAAGGGTACTGTGATGTTCAATATTATTAATAACTCCCTTCTCCCAGGTAGTCTGAGCTAGGCAATACTAACATGTACCTTCTCCTTTTCTGCACTTTTTTTTGTTTGTTTATTACGTTTTTATTTTAATTCCAGTATGGTTAACATACAGTGTTATATTATTTTTGGGTGTACAATATAGTGAATCAACAGCTCTATAGATCACATGGTACTCGTCATGGTTAAATGCTTTCCTTAATCCCTAACACCTATTTCCCCCATCCTCCATCCCACCTCCCCTCTGGTAACCATCAGTTTGTTCTCTATAGTTAAGAATCTGTTTCTTGGTTTGTTTCTGCTTTTTAGTTATAGTTAAGAATCTGTTTCTGGTTTGTCTCTTTTTTTCACTTTGCTCATTAGTTTTGTTTCTTAAATGCCACATATGAGTGAAACCATATGTCTTTCTATGACTTATTTCACTTAGTGTTACACTCTTTAGCTCCATCCATGTTATTGTAAATGGCACGATTTCATTCTTTTTTTATCTTCTTTATCCATTCATCTTCCAATGGACAGGTGGGCTGTTTCCATAATTTGGATATTGTAAATAATGCTGCAGTAAACATAAGGGTGGATATCCTCTTGAATTAGTGTTTTGGGGGTTGGTTTGTTGGTTGGTTTTTGCATAAATACACAGTAGGGCCATAACTGGATTATAAGGTAGTTCTATTTTTTTTTAAGATTTTATTTATTTATTTGACACACACAGAGAGATTACAAGTAGGCAGAGAGGTAGGCAGAGAGAGAGAGAGGGAAGCAGGCTCCCTGCTGAGCAGAGAGCTTGATCCCAGGACCCTGAGATCATGACCTGAGCCAAAGGCAGAGGCTTAACCCACTGAGCCACCCAGGCACCCAAGGTAGTTCTATTTTTAACTTCTGAGGAATCTCCATACTGTTTTCCATAGTGGCTCCACCAAGTTTGCATTCCCACCAATAGTACCCAAGTGTTCCTTTTTCTCCATGTCCTTGTCAATACTTGTTTCTTGTACTGTTGATCTTAACCATTCTAATATGTGTGAGATGATATATTGTAGTTTTGATTTGTACTTCCCTAATGATGAGTGATGTTGATCAGATCTTTTTGTGTGTCTATTGGCCATCTAAATGTCTCCTTTGGAGAAATGTCTGTTCATGTTTTCTGCCCATTTTTAATTGGATTATCTGGTTTTTGGGTGTTGTGTTTCATGAGTTCTTTATATATCTTGGATACTGACCCTTTATCAGAAATGTCATTTGCAAATATCTTCTTCCATTCTTAGGTTGCCTTTTAGTTTTGTGGACTGTTTCCTTTGCTGTGCAGAAGGCTTTTATTTTGATGTAGTCCCAATAGTTTATTTTTGCTTTTATTTCCCTTGCCTCAGGTGACATGTCTAGAAAAACGTTACTATAGCTGATGTCAGAGAAATTACTATCAGTGCTCTGTTCCAGGATTTTTATGGTTTTGGGTCTCACATTTAGGTCTCTCATCCATTTTTAATTTATTTCTGTGAATGGTATAAGAAAGTGGTCCAGTTTCATTCTTTTACATGTAGCTGTCCAGTTTTCACACCACCATTTGTTGAAGAGACTTTTTCCCACTGCATATTCGTTCCTCCTTCATCAAAGATTAATTGACCATATAATTGTGGGTTTATTTCTGGGTTTTCTAGTCTATTCCATTGATCTGTGTGTCTATTTTTGTGCCATACTGTTTTGATCACTATAGCTTTGTAGTATGACATGAAGTCTGGAGATAGTTCATCTTTAGTTTTGTTTTTCTTTTTTAAAATTGCTGTGGTTATTCAGGATCTTTTGTGGTTCCATACAAATTTTAGGATTGTTTGTTCCAGTTCTGAGAAAAATGCTATTGGTATTTTGATAGGGATTGTATTAAATCTGTAACTTGCTTTGGGTAATTTAGTCAGTTTAACAATATTTGTTCTTCCAATACATAAGCATGGAATGTCTTTCCATTTTTTTTGTGCCTTCTTCAGTTTCTTCCATCAGTATGTTTTATACTTTTTAGAGTACAGATCTTTCACATCTGTGGTTAAGTCTGTTTCTAGGTACTTGATTATTTTTTGGTGCAATTGTAAATGGTTTGTTTTATTAATTTCTTTTTCTGCTGCTTCATTATTAATATGTAGAGATGTAACAGTTTTCTGTACATTGGTTTTGTATCCTGAGACTTTACTGAATTCATTTATCAGTTCTGGCAGTATTTTGGTGGTCTTTTGGATTTCTGTATAGAGCATCATGTCATCTGAAAATAATTTGCAAATAAGTTTGACTTCTTCTTTACCTACTTAGATGCCTTTTGTTCCTTTTTCTTATCTGATGGCTGTAGTTAGGACTCCAGTACTATGTTGAATAAAAGTGGTGAGAATGGACATTTTGTTTTGTTCTTGACCTTCGGGGAGTATTTTCTCCATGGAGTATGATGTTCACTAAGAGCTTTTCATATACGTTGAGGTATATACTGTCTAACCCTACTTTGTTGAGGGATTTTTATCATGAGTGGATATTGTTCTTTGTCAAATGCTTTTTCTGCATCTATTGAAATGGTCATATGGCTTTTGTCCTTTCTCTTAATGATATGAAATATCACTCTGATTGATTTGTTAATATTGAATCACCTTTGCATCCTGGGAATACATCTCACTTTATAGTGCTGAATGATTTTTTTTAATGTATTGTTGGATTCGGTTTGCTGGTATTTTGTTGAGGTATCAACCTCAGTGTGTATCAGCTCTTTTTTAAATGTTTGGTAGAATTCCCCTATATTCCCATCCGCTCCTGGACTTTTGTTTATTGGGAGTTTTTTGATTACTGATTCAGTTGCCTTCCTAGTAATTGGTCTGTTCAAATTTTCTGTTTCTTCCTGCTTCAGTTTTGATAGGTTATGTTTCTGGGAATTTATCAGTTTCTTCCAGGTTGCCCAATTTGTTGGCATAAAATTTTTCATAGTATTTTCTTAGAGTTGTTTATATTTCTGTGGTGTTTGTTGTTATTTCTCTATTTTGTTACTTTGTTTGAGTCCTCTCTTTCTCTCTCTGTTTCTCTCTCTCTCTCTCTGATGAGTTTGGCTAGAGGTTTATCAATTGTATTTTTTCCCCCAAAGAACCAGCTCCTGGTTTCATTGATCTGTTCTATTGTGTTTTTTTGTTTTTTTTTTTTGTTTGTTTGGTTTTGGTTTTGGTTTTGTTTTTTTTTTTTTTAGTTTCTATACCATTTCTTTCTGCTCTAATCTTTATTTCCTTCCTTCTGCTGTCATTGAGTTTTATTTGATCTTCTCTTTCTAGCTTCTTTAGGTATAAAGTTAGGTTGTGTATTCTTTCTACACTTTTCATTGTTCACTATGCCACCTTCTGATGGTTACAATCTTTCTTTAATTGTTGCTGCCTTTGTTTTAAAAGTCATACAGTTATTTAAAAAATGAACAGTTTAGAATCAAATGAAAAAGATCTGCTTTCTCTCCTCTAGCCTACTAGCCTACTTAATTTAACTTACCTGTTTCTTTTTCATGACAACAGAGTTTTCTGTTTCAAAGATTTACTATCCTTAATTTAACTGGTCATGCAGCTATTTAAAAAATGAACAGTTTAAGAATCAAATGCAAAAGATGTTTTCTCTCCTCCCTACTAACCTACTTCCTAAGGCTAAGTTTGGAGCCTACCCCTCCAGGCATTTTCTTTGCAGTTCCAAGTACAAATGAAATCCACTCTTCATATTGTTATACATCTTGCTTTTTTACTTTGTTTTTCAAGTATCTATTCATGTTGGTACATATTTACCTGTTTCTTTTTTAATGACAACAGAGTTTTCTATTTTAGAGATTTACTCTCCTTAGTTTAACTGGTTGCTGTTGATGGACATTTTTGGTCTTTTCAGTCTTTTGCTATTGTTAATTTGCACAAATGTGCAAGTTAATCCAGAGGGAAAATTCCTAAAATTGGGATTCTGAGTTGCAGGGAATTTGCAGCTTAAATGCCAGTAAATATTGCCAATTCCTTTCCCAAAGGTTGAATCAGTTGAATGGGATTGTACATCAACAGTGCGAGATTTCTTTTTCCACTGTCAAGAACACAGGGTACTATGAAACATTTTTAAATCTCTGCCATTATAATCAAGAAAAAGAGGTATTTTGTTATGGTTTAAAGTGCATTTCCTTAATTATAGATGACTTCATGCTTGTTCTTTCTTTAAATATGTTAATACCTTTAGTATAATGGGACCTAAGTGGATTCTTTCTCTTTAAGGTGAGCTGTTTTTATTCTTCAAATCTTGGAGAATAGCTTTATTTTTAAGCATCAAAAAAAGTGCCTCAGTGTAGTTATTGTTCATTTACTGAATAAACAGGGCTCATAGCATTTCTAAGACCTTGATATATATATTGCCACTGGGATGTTTTATAATGACTTCATCCAAGGCAGATGGGCTGGGAATTGGCCATCCCTTTCACCTCTTAGTTAAAAACTGAGAGGTGAAAATAAAATAAAATAATAAAATTAATAAAATAAATGAAAATATTTATGTTTATAATGATTTTTATAAAAATAAAGTTTATTTTTATAAAAATATAAATATTTTTATAAAAATTATAAAAATAAAAATAAAATATTGTATTATTTATCAAAATAATGAAATATTATTTGATCAATATCAAATAATATTGATGTGACATATTATTTCATTACAGCAATTCAGCTTTGTGTCCTTGCCCACTGATGTACTGGAAATTGAAGTGAAGGACAAGTTTGCTAAGAGCCGCCCCATCATCAAACGCTTCTTGGGAAAGCTGTCGATGCCCGTCCAAAGACTCCTGGAAAGACACGCCATAGGGTAAACCTGTGCCTGAGACCTCAGTATCACTAAGTCTTCAGTGAGCAGGCGAGGGGACACCTCCAAGCCGCAACAATGTAGTCTCGTGGGGACTCAGACTAAAATGGTGGTATTGAACTTCCTTGGCTTCTCCCATTAATTATGTTGCTCGAGACACAGCATTGAATTACACCAACCTTTCCCTTTCCTCTTGTTTATGTACCACTGGGTATTTCTGCAGAAGAGTAGAAAAATCCCAAGACGTATATACTGAAAGGAGCCCTTAATGGGGTATTTTTCTATACAGGTAGAAATTAAAATTTATTTTGCTATCGAGAATATTATTTCTGCTTGTGTATAGAATTTAATCATTTGGGACATTTCTATAACAAGATGAAATGCTGGGTTACTAGCATAGAGAGATTTAGAAGATGCTAGTATTTGTAGAAAATGCTAGATAATATGTATGAAATTTTAAAAGCATGAATTCTCATGGACAACAGCAATTAGGTCACTTGCAGAATTCAGTTATATTTAAGAATGTTTCTGTTTGTATCTTTCATTTTCATGTCCTCTCATGATTCTCATTAAAACAGACTCTTAGCAGATGAGATATTTATATATAGTATATATTTCCCTAGTTAACAGCAACTATATTTGAAAATGCTAGGTCGAGTTCTTGGGACATAAATGTATGCTATGCTGTGTTGTGCCACTGTAGCCCTTAGAATGATATTGAAGGAATGAGGATAATTTGCAGAATTTCCAAGTGTCTTCATTTAAAGCTTTTTGGATTTTCAGGACTTTGGAATCACAAATGATTATCATAATTTAATTAGTGCATTGTAGCCTGTGTGCATCTGCATGCATACTGGCGTGCCATTAACTCTCAAGCCAAAGGGAGAGACACTTATGGAGCTACAGCCATGTCCTTGTGTCAGACACAGTGTTTGCACTTTCTGTTTATGGTTGTGAGGATTAAACAAACAAACAAATGTACATAAAGAATGCAAAGCAGTCCCTGGCACATAGGGACTAAAAGACTCTAGACCGTTCATTTTTTTTTTTTAAATAGCATAATCATGGCTTGTAAAATAAAGGCAACTCAGAAGGCACCCTCATTTCCTTTGCCTGTAACACCCCAGCCCTAGGCTGGTTCTCCACCTTCCCTGAGTCCTATAGCTGGACCACCTCAGCTTCACGTGGGATAGCCATGGCTTCCTTGAACTTTTTAGAGTAGTCCTGCCTTATGCCTCTAGCTGGATGTAAGCTATTTAAAGGCAGGCCTATGCATTACAAGCTCTGTATCAACGGTGACACTTTTCACGTGGCACAGGCTCCGAAAAATATTTGTTAATGAAGTGAGTGAGGAACAGAAGAAAGAAAAGCCTGGAACAAATGGCAAATTTAATTTTTGTCTCACTGCCTGGTTGTCTTTAAGCATCCCCTGATTTCAACTAGGTTTTTGGGTTCAAGATCTCTTTCCTGTGGTCATAGTAGATTTGCTTCATAATATTGACCAAGGTCCTTTCTAAATAAAGATTGTGGTTCTTTGGGTTTTGCTCCCTATAATGCTTTATTTAATGGACCTCCTAGGAACCTCAAACGCTAAACTTTGGCTGACCAAAGAAATATATTAACTCAGTGTATCATTGGGATATAGGCTGTTTCTTAATGCTGGTATTTTCTAGCAACATTAAAATGCTACCAGCCAGCCGTTTATCTTTCTATTTTAGCATGCCCAGTGAATAAATGGAGTGAATACAGAATCATTTGAGTAACAAACAGTTTTGGAATATGTCTTGTTATTATTAAACTGGATTTGTTGATTCTTGAATATCCAAAATAGTTACCTTTCCTATTGAAGCCAAGGTGGGCTGGGGGGAGGGGAAAGCGCTCTGCTAAAGCTCCATTGTTGATGAAACTGTGAAAGCAAAGTTTCACGTTGATTGCCCCTGGATAATTCTCTTCTTGGTAATCAAGAAATAGCCTTGAGTGGGCAGAGGGGAATATGCCAGACTCCAGGGCAGAGTTTCAGAGTCTGTATGCGGGACCGTGGAGTTAGCATAACTGGAAAGCAACCTACCAGTTTTGCTTCAGTCCGTCCTGCAGCAGGTCCCCTTTGGAAGCACTCCACAGCTCTCCAGACTGCTCCAGTTACCATGACAGCATCCTTTCTTAGACAGTATGTATATAGACTCCAAGACATCCCTCTCTTGCTGGCAATGTCCATTGAGGGCACTGGAAAACATCAGCCTGCACAGGAAAAGCAGGCAAAGATACCCATGTCTTTTTTGTTGTTATGGTTGTCTTTTGGGGGGTTTCTTGGCTTAGAGCACAGGTTGGCAGCAAACTTTCTATAAAGGGCCAAGTGGTAAATATTTTAGGCTTTGTGGACCATGTAGTCTCTGTTTCAACTATTCAACTCTGCCGTTGTGGCATGAAAGCAGCACCAGACAATAAATAAACTAATAAGCATGGCTGCATTCCAATAAAACTTCTATTCAAGGAACTGAAATTTGAATTTCAGACAATTTTCATGTGTCACAAAAATATTACTCTGCTTTTTTTCTAACTGTTTTAAAATGTAAAAAGCTCAGAGCTCAGATTTAAAAAAAAAAAAAAAAAAAAAAGGGTAGGGGGCCAGATTTGAGCCCAGGGCTACAGTTTCCTGACTCCTGCTGTAGAATATTCAATAAGGATTTTCTTGAATTTTTTCACTGCTGTTGAGCAGATGTACTTCCTCACCTTTAGCTTCTGTCTGTCTTCTCTGAACCTGAGTGGATCATCACCTCCTGTTAGCAGGGCCTCCCTGGACTTGCCTATCTCACCTACCAGCATAGACAGCATGCTGTCTAATCTTTAAGGAGAGGTACTGACCAGATTGTAATGGTGCTTATTTCCTTCTAGGGATAGGGTGGTCAGCTATACACTGGGCCGCAGGCTTCCAACAGATCATGTGAGTGGACAGCTGCAATTCCGGTTTGAGATCACTTCCTCCATCCACCCAGGTATTTTTGGCATCAGCTTCATGTCTTGTCCTAGCCTAGGGTTGGTGTGGTTCCTTTCTCTTAAAATACAATAACCATGGTTCTCTCCAGACATGTCCTAGGTTTTGTGGTTCTCTCCCTTCTCCATCTGAGACCCAGAAGGCAGTGATCTGTTCTGGAAGCCAGGTTGCTGTCCCCTTGATTGAGAGGCTCCTCTTCATTCTGGTGACCCAAAGGTAGAGGGTTAGACAGTGGAGGGGGAATTGACAATGAGGCCAGCACGGGTATGGAGCCGTGTCTAATTTATCATTTTACTCCCAGCACCCACATCGGAGATGCTCCATAGATGCTTAATCATTGCATACATGAATGAATGAATGAATGAGAAACATGAATGAATGTGATACATATCACATTATTGAAGAACTATTATGGTACAATGGATTTATCACAGGGGAAAATGAAAAACATAAATCAGACAGAAAACTTCAGAATCATCCAGTTTTCTGTTTGTCAAGCCAAAACACATTTCCAAACAAGAATGATGAGATGCCTCATAATTCTACTTTGGTGTTCTCCCACACCCCCTAACTGAGTGTAGATCATTCTGAGAATTAGCCAGAATTAGTCCTTCTGGGCCACATTTATGAGTTGCTGTTAAAGCTAATGAGGCTTTGAAAACTCTTAAGTCTGTAGTTTTTCACGGCCCACTTGTCAAAGTCCAGTTGTAGTGGTCTGTGCCCAACAGATAATGCAGATTGTGAGAAAACACCCTGACTGCTTTGTCCTTTCACACTCATCCTGAGAATGAAATTGACTCTTCCTTCACTGTAGCAGTAAAGATGGCCTCACGGCTCACCAGAGAGATCATTCATCTTCAGTGAGTGCATTGCACTAGTGCTCTTGAAATGGGAAGTTCACATCAGGCAGGCACCCAACAGAGCAAGCAGCTGGGGGAAGGTAGAAGTAAACAGTGCTTGCTGTTCCTTGAATGGTTGGTTGATGTAGAGACCTCGTTTATTTTCCATTGCAATAACCTGCAACAGGCTACAGAAGGACCCTGGTTGCTCCCATCAAGTAGTCATTTTCTGCTCTGTAGTTGCTAAGAACCTGGCTTACCCATTCTGCCACCTGCTGGACCCACCAGAGGACACTCAGCAAGCATCAGCCTTGCCTGTAGGGCAAGGCCCTATAACGGCCCCTTACCCCAAGGGCTTCTGTACAGTCTTCCCTGAAGCAAACATTGTTGAGCACCCACTACGTGCTAGAAACTGGGGTAGTTGTATAGGGTTTGGGTATTTTAACCAAAACTATGAATTCCCTTGGAACAGAATTCTGAAAGATCACGATCACAAATTGTCATTAACATACGGAGAATTCATTCTTACAGAATTTTTTAGCAGAGCTTTGGCCTATGAGAAATCCTCATCAACGCCTCCATCCGATATCCTCATGCAGAAATCCTTTAGGATGGCTTACGGGGCCCGCAAGAGTACACTAATGCACGAACCCCACAATGCCCTCTTCTGGGAGAAATGACATTTTCTTCTCGCCCACAGATGACGAGGAGATATCCCTGAGCGCCGATCCCGAGTCCGCGGAAACTCAGGACAGCCCCATGAACAGCCTGGTGGCCAGCAGCCACGGGGAGCCTGCGGGCGAGGCCCTGGAGCCTTCCAGGAGCTCGAAGCCCGAGCCGCCGAGCCAGGGCAGTGCCGGGGACGCTGCCGGGAGCGAGAGCCTGGAGCCTGCCGAGCCGGTTGAGGAAGCGGCAGGTACCACCGAGGCAGGAGACGACGGCGCGGGCTCTGTGGGACCTGACGGGGATGGGGAGCTTCTGGGCCCGGGGCGCGAGGACGCCGAGCCAGCCCTGAGTGCGGAAGAACTGGCCGAGCGGCTGGAGCTGGGTGGGGAGGCGCCCCCGCCGGGGTTGCTGGAGGACGGCGAAGCCCGGGCCAGACCCGGGGAGCCGGAGGCGGAGGAAGCGGCCGCAGAGAGCCGCGCGGGGGGAGAGGAGAAGGAGCAGGCCGAGGAGGAGGAGGAGGGCGACGTGTCTGCCCTGGGGCAGGGGGAGGACAGGCTGCCGCTGCGGGCCTCCGTGAAGAGGAAAAGCAGGCCGTGCTCCCTGCCGGTGTCGGAGCTGGAGACGGTGATTGCGTCGGCGTGCGGGGACCCCGAGACCCCGCGGACACACTACATCCGCATCCACACCCTGCTGCACAGCATGCCCTCCGCCCAGGGGGGCGACGACGGCCCGGAGGAGGAGGTCACCCTCCAGGATGCCTCGGAGAAGGACGGGCTTAGCGAGGTGGACACGCTCGCCGCCGCGCCACCTCCGCTCGAGGAGGGCGGAGAGGGACCCGAGGGGGCCACTCCAGGCACGGCGACCCCGGGCCACTCCAGCCTGACCAACGGCCTGGTGCCCGATGGCGACTTGCTGCCCAGCACGGGGAGTGAGAGCGACTCGAGCCCCCGGCAGGGCGGGGACCACAGCTGCGAGGGCTGTGACACGTCCTGCTGCAGCCCGTCCTGCTACAGCTCCTCGTGCTACAGCACGTCCTGCTACAGCAGCTCCTGCTACAGCGCCTCCTGCTACAGCCCCTCCTGCTACAACGGCAGCAGGTTCGCCAGCCACACGCGCTTCTCCTCGGTGGACAGCGCCAAGATCTCGGAGAGCACTGTCTTCTCGTCGCAAGACGACGACGAGGAGGAGAACAGTGCGTTCGAGTCTGTGCCAGACTCGGTGCAGAGCCCGGAGCTGGACCCGGAGTCAGCCAATGGGGCCGGGCCGTGGCACGATGAGCTGGCCGCCCCCGCCGGGAGCGTGGCAAGAACCGTGGAAGGTCTGGAGTCCCCCGTGGCAGGGCCAAGCAATCGGAGAGAAGGTTAGACCTCAAACCTGATCAGAGTGAGAATAGGACCACCAGGGGGACCCAGGTCTCACCAGCAAGGTTTCAAAACAAGTGAGAGATCAGTCTCAAATGGGGTTGCCGGGGCAATGTATGCCTGTCCTGTACATGTATGTGCGTGTGTATCTGTGTATGTAAGTATTCGTGACTGTGACTAGCAGACATCCTCCACCTCTCAGATACCCACCAAGAAGTACAACTAGTGCACTCATGTGAGTGTGCTCTAGTATGCGTACCTGTCTGTTTTACCTAATCACCAGAACTGGTTAGTGTACATGTGACCCTTCTGGTCTTGACAATGACCAGAGCACCCTAGGTAGTCAGTCTTGAATGATACAAGCAGAAAATATTCGGTAACATTTGGTGGGTAATGTATAAATATCTGCTGACTTCCCCCAAACATACTGAAGATTAGCAATAAATGTTAATATAAATTGAAGAACATTGATTTTTACCTTTGCTTTAGAATTTAACGTAGCCTATGTACATATGGAAATGTATAGCCTACATATATTTGTCATTATTTCTGTCTGTTCAGTTCTCGTTACTGTTGTTTTTTTTACTATTATTCTATTTATTCAATCTAAAAATATAAACAGCTCACCCATTTCTCCCATTCCCACTCCCGCCTCTGGCAACCATCCATCTGTTGCCTGTTCTCTTGAAAACTACAAGACATTAATGAAAGAAATTGAAGAAGACACAAATAAACGGAAAGATCTTCCATGATGATGGATTGGAAGAATCAATACTGTTAAAATGTCCACACTGCCCAAAGCAGTATTACAAGATTGTGAGAATCCCTATGAAAATTCCAATGGCATTTTTTACAAAAATAGAACAATCCTATAATTTATATGGAACCATAAAAGACCCCAAATAGCCAAAGCAGTCTTGATAAAGGACGAAGCTGGAGGACTCACACTCAGATTTCAAACTACAAAGCTATAGTAACTAATTCTGGTTTTGTTTTTTTGTGTTGTTGTTGTTGTTTCTTGTTTGTTTTGTTTTAATTTGGCTATTTTGGCTAATGGAAGGGGAAAAAAATCACGTGAATTCGTAAGTCACCTCGTTTCAAGTGGGATTCTGATCCAAAAGCTGCTACCTTTAGTTTTAAAATATATTCTATATTTTAACCCAAGATGTTTGTTCTTAGTCATCCCTGTGGAATCTTCTATAAAATTCAGTCACATTTCTTTATCCAGATTTGGGAACCATCTTCCAGTCAATGACCGTGACATGGGGGAAATAATTCAAAGGTCACATGATACTATGAAATAATTCCATTGCTCTAAAGGAGAAAAATACAGATTCTGCTATTTTCCTGCTCTCCTGTTTACATTAGCCTCCGAATAGAGGTGGTAGTATTGTCTCTAGATTGTAAGCTCATCAAGGGCCAGAACCGTATTTTCTGATTGATTCTTAGCACGTAAACAAATGCTTGGCACCTATAAAATTTTATAGCAACCAAAGTGAGCATAAAAATTAATCTTTTGAGTATTCGACAATGCCCAGTTCTACATTTCGGAGAAAGACGGAGTGGAGGAAAGTAGCACATGGGATAAGGAGGAGTGCCAAGAGATTGGTAAAGAAAGAGAAACACAGGGAGGAAAACCACAGTGACATACAATATGGAAAGGCAGGACTGAGAATGGGATGGACAATTCCTTTCTTTAATGCGGATGTTTTGAGTTGCTCTGGGCCAGATGCTATGTGCTGAGCCCGGGAAGATGGACAACTGTCAGAAGGTGTGAGAGGGGCTCAGTAATTACAACAGAATTAAAAATAATTATAGTATAAAGAGATCTGGGGATACACACATAAGAGGCACAACTAGGAGCTGGCTGGGGTGTTTTAGTCCAGAGGTTGACAAACCTTTTCTGTAAAGGACCTGATAACGAGTATTTTAGACTTTGTAGATCAAGAGGGCAAAATTTAGCTACTCTTCTTCCCAAAGGCTACTTTTTTTTTTTTTAACAGTTTTACACTTAAAAGTGTAATAACCATTCTTAGCTCAGAGCCGCATAACAAGGCCAGAGTCATGGTTTGTCACCTGTTGTAGCCTGCGGTGTGTATTTTGACCACCATGTCAGGAGGTAATCATTACTTGAAAATTGGTTCAGTTTACAAAGGCATGTTTTACAAAAAAAACAAAACAAACAAACAAAAAAAAAACAAAATAGAACAAACACTCTCCATGCCCTTGACAGATGAACAGTCCAACTGGGAAAACTCTACCTTAACAGAAAGGACAGGAAAGTGTTTGGGGGCCATAGTGGACCTCTTGGCAGGGCAGTTTCGAAAGAAAATTGTGAATTTCTGAATTCTGCCAACTGTAAACTCAAAAATGGCTGAGAAGCACCTACAGGCTTTACTCTGGTGCCTGCTGGGGGCAACGCAAAGATTCCTGAGATGGCCAGTCCCATGACAGCTGGGCACAGGCTGCATGAGCCTGCCCTGTCCCCTCTCGGTGGTGAGTCACTGTCCCTCACCAGCACACGCTTGAAGAAAGCAGGGCTTCACCACCACCTGCCTGGCCTTGGCGCGTGTGCCCTGTTCTTCCACAAGACTCACTCTCGCCCCTTCCTGTGGCTTCCAAGACAGGGAATTCCTTCACTAAGTTAGCTAAGGTAGGCTGGCCCTACACGTGCCCACATAACTGAATCTGCAGCCGTTTAGGGAAGATGGGGTCCGTATCTCCCTTTTGTTCCTTCCCCTCTCTGTGAAAACCTCCTTTTTAACCTCAGCATAAAATAGTTTTTGAAAAATTGTCTGCAGATCGAATGAAAAGAGCAGTATAATGTGATTTGAGCTCCAGACCTTAGAGTCAGGCCTCCTGGGTTTAATTCAGTCTCCCGCCCTTTCCTAGCGGTGCCACCTAAGCCAGCTTCCTGGAAGGCTCTGTGCCTCGTGTGTGGAGTGGGTGTGAAGGGAGACTCGCTTTCCAAGGGTTCTGGGAAGGATGAAATGAGATGATGCACGTGGAGGGCTCGGCTCTGACCGAGGAAGGGCTCTTCCAGGCGGAGAAGCAGGGAGGCTAACTTTGAAAGTGGAATATGTTTCCTTCTCAGGGATTCTAGCAGGGCTGACCACTTGCTTTGTGTCTGAGGCAAGGGTGAGTGTGTGGTGCCCTGCCCTCCCGCAGAACAGACGCGCTTGCTTCTTCCTTGCGCTCCATCCATTCAGTGGGCTGAGCTGCGCCTGTCACATCATTGCATTTGCTTGGGGTTCACGAGCAGGTGGGGTCCGCTCCATTAACCCCAGCAAACGGCAGTATTGTGTTTCCACTAGCTTGGAGGAGTAATTAACCCGATTGGTCGAATTAATTACAAGAGGTAAGTTTGTTGTTCTTTTTAAGAAACCAAATTAAAAAATGCAGCAGCTGGTGACATAACAACCGGTACCATCGCTTTTTCGTTTCTGACACTGGGCACATGCAAAAGCAAACATGAGTGTGGGATCCACTAAAAACAGAGCCCCTGTCCGAACCAGGAGTCCAGTCACAAGGAGTGGTGCACCAGCACAAGGGACCCCTTCCTCAGTCTCCTCAGGGTCTCAGAAGGCCCCCAGGATTTGAGTAACATACCAAAGCTTGCACAAGAAATCATGCTATATATTTAGCATTTAAAAGGACCCGTGGTTCCTGAATACATTTCTGTTTTTGTTTTATAGTTAGCTCTAGGAATTAAATGGCTAAATTAAACCCACCTAACTTCCTTCCTAATTAATTTTTTTATCAGGGTTTTTTTTTTTTTTTTTTGGATCTAGAGTGAGAAGAAATTATCCTTTCCATGTATGGACATTCTAGGACATGTTTGAAATTTGGGATCCCATAAAGATCTTCACTACTCTTTTTTAGTTTCTCTCCTTTTTGACCTAAGGGATGACGGAACGCTTGCTATTTGCATCGGCCGTGGAGGGCAGAGGAAGGAGAAGGCCTGACCTTTGTCTTCAGGCCAATAGAGGCTATTGCCAGTGAGCCAGGAGTGTGTGAGCTAGAGGGATACCACTCTGAATGGGGGCTGTCTCATGGCATAGGCCTTCCTAGCTCTTCAAAGGTCAAGAGCGATTGCCTCTGATGATGTGACCTGACCCTATGGGCCTCCCCTCCACATAGCCACTCTTGTGCAGGATTACCAGAACCTGAGGACGTCATGAAACAACATCATTTTAGCACATTGTTCAGTTCACTCTAAGTCTGACTGACAGTAATATTAACTATGTCTATAATAATCGAGGTATGCATTCCGTGGATATGTTTATTTCTAAAATTTCTCCATGTCTGTCTTTCTTCCTTCTATCCCACTTCTGTGTTTCAAGTTTTCCTGTCTCAGTCTTCCTGCCTCTTATCTACTTCCTTCATCTCTTGTCCTTTTCTCTCTCTCCAGAGTACCCTGGCTTGTCTGATTTTTCCTCAGAATAATCCAGAACAATCACAAGATCCCATAGCTACTTGCTCCTCACCCCAGTCCCTAAGCTTCTATACTATAGAAATTTACCTTCTTGGCCCACCAGTTCCTCAGCGCCATCTTGGAAAGGCACCATCTAAGAGTTACATTCTGAAATCGAAATCTGAAAAACAGCCTCTTGGCAGCCCTCTGATGAAACCTATCCAGATGAGGACCTTTGGTTTTGTATGGGCTCACCAAGCTTTTACAGGACTTCACAAATGCTGCACTTCCCTCAAACAGGCCTGTTTCTTTAGCTGGGCTCAAGTCAGGCTCTGCTCATTTTCTTTTGTGTCCCCGTCTGATGCCACCCTCCCATTAACAAAAGTCAAGTGGGTACAGAATCAGACCCTGATCCTACATGCTAGTCTGTGTGGTACAGATCATAGTCGTGAAGTATTTATTTTATTGGGCTTTAAAAAAAAAAAAAAAAAGAATCCCCTTATTCCCTCTCTCATGAATGACTCTGAATGTAGCAAACTGACACACACAAAAATAGATTGCCCGCTCTGGGTTGTTTTTAGTTTTTGTTTTTTTCTTGTAGTCATTTGTTTTACAGTCATGCTTTTTTGATGAAGTTGCTGCAGCAATGAGTGAATCTGAATGTCTTGACTATCTTGTCCATAGGTGAATGTCCTATACTCCATAATTCCCAGCCAGTAAGCCAGCTTCCTTCCTTGAGACCTGAACATCATCACTACCCAACAATCGATGAGCCTCTTCCACCAAGTAAGCTTTAGTGTTTAAAGTCTATGTCTTAATTCTTCCTATCGAGTCTAAACAGGTCAGTATGAACTTGTGTGTACAGATCCAAAGTCTTCCCCAACTCCATACCTTACACGACTATAAAATAAATACATTTATATACATGGCACCTACTGTAAAAATGGGGTGTTTTGATGAATGATTTCAGTATGGGATCTTGAAGAGATAATCCATTACCTTCAGTGCCCCTCAACTTCTGAAACAGAGTATTTCTTAGGAGACTTGACTAGTCCTTGCAAACTGTACATGACCTTTAAGTCCTGAATTTTACTATTTTCTGTTCAGAAGTTCACAGCTCAAAATAGACTAATCCTGTTGTTCTCCTTTGAACCTGTTATATCGCAGGCGCCTCCATATAATAAAACATTCAACCCATCAGGATGCAAGGGCTCGTGTTGCCTTGCTATAACTTCCATCAATAGGAGATAGCCTACTTCTTCGGTAGTTCTTAGGAGCTTCCAGAAAAAAATATCATCTTTAGGGATGGTGTTCCATCCATAGTAATGGTGTAACTCATTACTATTTAACTAGTCATTTGAACTTGGGAAAATCATGTAATACCTCAGAGACTGAGTTTTCTTATTTGTAAAGTAAAGCCTTAATTTTCTCATTAGCTACATGCTAGATCTAGACTGGGTAGTTCCTAGATATCATTTCGGCCTTAACCTTATAATACTACATTATCATACATTTTTAAGAAGGAACTGATACCCTGGACATTATACAGTCACTTCACATCATATATGTTCATGAATAATTCTAGAACATCTCTGTTTTGGCTTAGGCTTATTTTTCAAGCAGAGATAACCTTTAAGATTTGATAAATTTTACAACTGCAGAATCTTGCCAGGATGCAAGGAATCGATATTTCTTTATATTCCTTTGCCTAGGCTTACATTAGGAGGTTACAGTTAAAAAAAAAAAATGTCCTGATTCATCTATTCTTGGTAACATGATATATTTTGCATTTATACCATTCTTGTCCTATTCAGATGTAATCTATCAGTGAGAAAAGAATAAATACCTTTATTATGTAAACACTTAAAAGAACACTATATTTGTTTGGGGGATCAGGGAAAACATTATGTTTTTTTAATTTTTGATACCTGATTCCTTTCTTTATTTATATATTGATTTATGGATAGTCCACAAATGACTAGTAAAATTTCAGCATCACTATACTTAGCACTTACGTAAAAAATATCTATTACAAATACATATATATAACATGTTCTCACCAGGAAAGGAACACTTCCCCACAACAAAAACCTATCAATTCCTGTGTGCGTGAATTGACTTCCAATCCATGCAAGAGTAATTACTAGTTATATTCCGGACCTGGTAAATAATTGAATATAAGTCTATTTTAAAGATTTACTTTATATAAGCTGTTTTCAGTAATGAAGACAAATTTCTCCAGTTGGGTCTCAGTTCTCTGTTCATTCAACACTGAAAAATATGACAAATGTTGGTAGGGAAGCCTAACAACAGAATTTTCTTGATAGTCATTCTTTCAACAAATATTCATTAAATGCAACAAATATTCAATAAAAGGTAAACAAAACAGACAAAGATCCCTGCCCTCGCGGAGCATACAGTGTAGCCGGGCGGAGACCCACACATAATGAAAAGAGTGAACAAGGCAATAGTGTAATAGGTTAGATGGTGGGCAGTGCTGTGGGCAATCACAAGCAGAGTGTGGCAAGGTGGGATTTGGAGGATGCGTTGGCGGCTGGTTCGCCGTTTTAAATCCGGTGGTCAGGCAGGCTTCCTTGAGAGGCAACATTGGAAGCTAGGCTTAGAGGAGGTTGAGGAATAGCTGGGAGACCAGTGTGTCTGGAGCCGGGAGACAGCAGTGGCGGATAAAGTCAGGGAGATATCAGGGACCCAGATCACAGAGGGCCCTGTAGGCCACTTAAGAGCTTTGGCTTTGACTCTGGAAGAAAGGAGAACATTTAGGTTTAGAGCAGAGAAGTGACATTCTCTGACTTAAGTTTTGTAAGTTTTTCTGCGGTTGCTCTATTGGCATTAAATTTTGAGGAGGAAAGATAGAAGCATGAAACCCAACATATGGTTATTGCTGTGGCCCAGGTGAGAGGCAGAGGAGGCTAGGGCCAGGGTGGGAGCAGTGGAGGTAGCGAGGAGAACGGTTGAGTTCTAGACCTATGTTCCATAGGTAGGTTTGCCTACAGATTAGATGGGTTGTCTGAGACAAAAAAAAAGAAATCAAGAATGATCTCAAGCATTTTAACCTAGAAAGATGGAATTGCCTTCAACGGGGGCGGGAAGGGAAGGCTGCAGATAGAGGTTTTGGTGGGAAAGATCTGAAGCTTGATTTTGACCATGTTCTATTGGAGATGTCATCTAGGTAGTGATGTCAAGAAGGCAATTGGATGTGTGGCTGAAGTTTAAGAGAAAGGTGTAGACTACAAACATGGTATTGCATTTGTTAAAGTAAAAAGAAAAAAGGGAGAATAATTTTACAGGCTTTTTTTAGTATAATAACTAAAGATGGTACATTGTTAGGCTCTACATTGTTCCTAGACTTCATGGAAAGGATAGAATTTTATATTTTCTAGGGCTTTTGGTCACAAATGAATCACCCTAACTTACCCCAGCATCATAAAGGTAATCTGTCTAGCCAACACAGTGCCATGTCCGTCAGGATACACTGAGGCCTGAAGTTCTATTTGGAAATCTTTCTTTACACAATATGTAAAAGTAAATTCTTTACAAAGTAACCCAGAAAAAAATGCTTATAATCTCTAGAGATGATAAATATATAAATATAAATATACATAAGAAATATATAAATATATATAAGAATATATAAATATATGAATAGAAATATATAAATATTTCTGAATACTTATATGAATTTAGAGTTATGCATTTATAGTTAGCACTATTACATATTTAATATATTGATAGAAGGACATGTCTGGCTGGCTTGCCATCCTTTTCCACGAGAGATTGGGAAATATGGGAACTTGTAGAGAGAAACTGTTATTACCACTGCACCGCCCCATTTGCTAGTGTTTTCCTTGGAGAATTTATGAGACTGGAGTCCTTCCTTCATGGCTGGAACCTGGAGGGTGGGGACATTCATTTCTCAGCAGTGTGCCCATGGGACCTGGCATAGTTTTTCGTTCATAGGGAGTGCTGAGAGGAATTTGTTCAACTGAACCAGATACCGCAATACTCTTCAAAGACTCATGTTCCTTCCTTGTTGAATGACAGTCATGTTGAGTTCAAGGAAAAAAAAAATTGTCCAGTTTCTCCTAGTTGGGGAATCACTGAAATTTTAACAATTTTTGGATCAAGATTAATTACCTAGTAGTTACACATACCCAGTTTCATCAGTGGGCTATTTTTCATTTACAGCTAACAGTTGAGCTGGATTATCTAGTAGACAATTTTTGTCCACACATTCTAGAATATATTTATACAATCGGAGTACGTTTTTCCTTCAGTGTGTCTTAAACAAGATTTGGTGTGTTCTGGTATTTTGGTTTCCATTGTGCATTATTTGGCAATTCCTCAGGTAAATGTCAGACATAAGCTATCATCGTCACAGATGTACCATGCATACATAACACCATAAATATACCAAGTATATTGTTTTTTCTCATTTAAAAAAATTGAGAGTTGCTATGTCATTACCTGAATGACCATTTCTCAGTAGAATTATTAATATCTGAACCTACTCCCAAAAGCTATGGATTTTCTTACTTAAAAGGCTGAATAGTTTTCCTCCATTTGCAGTCATTTTTTGCTTTTTCTTCCTTAGCCTAACGCATTTTGCAGCATAACTTTATCATGAAGCTATTATTTCCACCACGTTTTCACATTTGGACTCTAAAAGCTTTGCCCATTGCTGTACAGCAGACATTGCTCTTCTGTGTGAAGCTTATTTATGTGTGTATTACTTCCAGCTCTCCTGGTTTTGAGGACTTTGGCACCTACCCCGCCCTACCCCGTGTATTTATGTGGTGTACCCCCCCATGTGTGCGTGTTTAGTTGGTTGGTTTTGAAATCCGAGAAGGAAAGGAATTTATCTTTGTCTTGGGCTCCCCCTGCTGTTTGTGATGGTTCCTTGTCAACAAAGAGGTAGTCCGAAGCTTGATGTGTGTTCATTATTTATCAGTGAAGAGGTATTTAAAATCTTGATGTGTGTTAGTAGTTGTTACTGGTTTTGTTTTTGTCAAGAGATATTTGGTAGGCACAGGTGGGTTGAAAATACACTGAACTTACAACTTACCGAAAGGATGGTTTGAAGGGCTCAGATCCTTCCATTCTTCCTAAGAGGAATGGCAATGAATTAAAGTTGCAGAGTATTGGATAGAGGTCATCAAAAGTTTCAGGTACAGTATCTTAGAACTGTAGCTAAAAGTGGTTTTAATACGAGGGCCATCATCCCCTCACCGACGAGTCGCTGTCTCTCAGATTTAGCGAAGAAAGGATTCTCCAGCATCAGACTGTCAGCTCTCCCTGGAGGGTGTTTCCCGTCTTGCAGCTGTCCTTGGAGTAGCCAATAAGATTGACAGGATGGAGATTGTTAAGGGAAGAGATAAAGTAAACGTCAGACTTTCTCTTTAGAAAACAGTAGAATCGTAGCATAGGTCATATTTGAGGAACCCCAGCTACTAAGAGACGCTGAGTGCAGGAGGCTGTTTTTCGGAAAGCCAGTCCAGCACTAGTGCCTCCGAAGTCGTGGCGGGTGCTGGGGGCAGGGTCTGACCTTTAGCAGGTCACCAACAGTGAGTTCTACCTACGGAAGACCTGGCAGTGGTATCTGTTTCCCGTGAATCAGGAGTTTGTCCTTGATTTCTCTTTTTGCCTTTTTATCACACACCAGACTGGGAAGCTCGCATTGACAGCCACGGGCGGGTCTTCTATGTGGACCACGTGAACCGCACGACCACCTGGCAGCGTCCGACAGCAGCAGCCACCCCTGATGGGATGCGGAGATCGGGGTCCATCCAGCAGATGGAGCAACTCAACAGGCGGTTGGTGATCAGCATGCGGGGAGCCCCTGGGAACCCCTTGGAAAGGAGAAGGGCAGCCAGCGAAAATCCCCCCCACTTACACGTTTCTGCTCAGACTGTCTGAGGAGCCTGGAAAGTAATTACGTACCTTAAGAAACCCATTTGTAGCAGGTACTTAGAAAGCTAGGTTTAGAATTTGGTGGCAGGAGACTAATTAAGCCTGAGTGTCATTTAAAGATGGAGAATTCTCTGAACTTCTTGGTGGCATGTGCTCAAAAACAGGTGTTCCTTAACCAGGGGCTCTCAGACCACCCTCCTCCCTAGGTATTCACTGAGGATGCCTTTGGTCCATGAACCCTCCAGAAACTGTATGCAAAATTATACGTGGATGCACATTTTCCCATCAAACTGGTCCTTATCTCTCATGAGATTCTCAAAAAGGCCCAGAACTCAAACAGCTGAGAACCCTCCAAAGATAGGTTCCGTAGAACACTAAAAGCTGTCTGGAGAAAAAACAGTATCATCCTGTATTCATGTCTGTCTGTATTCATGTCTGCCCCGATCCCCTCATTGCTATATACTTAGTAATTCCTAAAAAGCTTTCATCTTAGAAAAAAAAATGTTTAAAAACAGTTTTTGAGGATTGTTTGGTCTAAAAACCAGACTCTTACCTGTGAAATTGTCAAGATGCCATTTTGTTTTTAACCTGCAAATGAGATCCTAAATAACATTTCTGTCACGCTGTAAACTAGCACGAGCATCATATCTGACCTCTTGCTTCTTTAAGGCCAAGATGGCAGCTTTGGGATACTTTTCTTAGCCAGGACCACAAACTGCATGCTTGAATTCAGCCTTATCCACAAGCCATCTCATTAGGATGAAATAAAGGAAAAGTTGAAAGGAACTGTATGGTATAAGGAACTAGAAGCTGACTGTATCAGCCAGAAAAAATAAAGTGGGCAATTTAGTCCTATGAAAAACACACAGAGGCAAAAAATTGAACTTCTGGTTTCTGTTGCACACAGAAGAACACACTTAGGTGAAAATCGCCAGGATTCTTTGATTGCTCGAGCATTTGGAAGACACTCACTTTCCATTTTTTGTCCATCAGTAGCCGAGCATTTAAAGTCGTTAATGAGAACCGTGCGGGATGTTCATCGGCAGTACATTTCTCTACGGTCATTCCCACAGAAAGAAAACACATTACAGAACTTGTGATAACCCAGCTTTATTAGTTAAGAACGTACCAGAAATCCATAGGAGAGCCCTTTCCTGGTGATTACAACGAAGCTCCTGTCAATAAAAAAGTGGAGGACACAGCAAGCTCATTTTACACAGAGACTGCACTGAGATTCCATAGGCAGAAATAGTCTGTAGATCTTTCCTGCCCATACAGAGAAGCTGGACTTGATTAGGAGCTGAACTTGGCAGGCTGAGACATAGGGAGAGTATCACCAGGCTATTATCTACGGGAGGTACAATTCCAAGCACTGAAAGAAAACAATACATTGAAGCAGAAGTAAGCACCTTGACCTAGGACATAAAAATCCATGAAAATTCATCATATTCAGGTTGTATAATATAAAAATTAGGACAAATCCATCCTGAATCAGGCCTCGAGAGAAGTTCTACAGGCTTTCATGTGTAAATTCCTGTGCCCTCCAGTGGAGCTGAACCGCTAGGAGAGGCAGCCAGACTTTGTGAAACAGGAAGTGGTGTTTGGCGCATCCATCTGGACAGATAAAAAAAAAAGAAAAGGAATTTGGCGACTTGAAAAAGTACTTCTTCTTGTGAGAAAACCTACTTAGGGAAGGCCAGATAACCTCGAGATAAGCATCCCGGCTCTTCAGCGCTTATCTTAACCTAATAAGTTCAAGTTTGTAGAGTTTTTCAGTGACCTGGCATGATAAGGCGGCCACAGAAAGTACACTGCTGGTCTTCGGGATGTGATCACTCCTGGGGGGTGTTTTTTCTGAAGGAATTTACAGCAATCCCGTCTCACAGCAAAACAAATATTTCTCGGTGTTGCAAGGTGTAAGGGAAGGAAAGCCTTCTTTATTCCCTTTTAAGTTCTTTGGCTGACTTAATATTTAAATCAACATAAGAAAAAGATTAAAAGGAGAAAAGTAAATTTAATTTCATATGCAGGGAAGCTCACAGAACTATGAGACTCAAAGAAATGACAAGAAACATTTTTTGTGTGTGAAGAATTAACAAACCAGTTTGGGCTTGGGGTAGTAAATTGGTGAAGAGGAACAAGATTGGTTTACCAGCCTTCTTGAGCCTGATCCCTATCCCTGGTGATAAAGAGGACTACCGCCCTCTAGGTGCAGATTCACAAGGGAAATTCACTTCCTGCCTTCGGAGAACGGAGGACGGTCAGAGGGTTCTTCTGCTCTGGTGGTTTCTTAAGTAACTTTAATTCAAAATAATCAATATGCCAAAATGGCGTATTTTGGAGTGGTCTGCCCTGGACCTTATCAATGGGGTTTCCCTGGACTCCTGACAGCGTGATTATGAAAGTCAGGTGTGTTTGTGCAAGGAGACGCACACTGAGAAAGGCAGAGTGCACAATGCAGCCTAGGGCTACCACATGCAAACGCGCCAGTCCCCAAACGCAGCACAACTTTCCTGGCCTTTATAGCTTGACCATGTGCTCCTGCGGCAGAGACGTCCCTCGCCACCTGCCTGCATGCTCCATTCTGCTAAGGCCCATGAGAATGTCCTGTGGTCCCTGAAATCTCCCAGAACCCTCCACGCACAGCTAGTGGTTGCCTCTTCTGTGATTGAAACTTTCTGCCTTGTCCTCCTGGGTACCCCTCCCCATGCCTGGTGGGTACCAGAGTCTAACAGGACTCAGCGTAAGACAGTTTCTCTAGTTAATTCTTTCACTTTCAGAATATTCTGAATTAACTCGATGCACCTTCACAGATATTTATCAAACAAGCAGAAAATATAAATATGTATTCTCACTTCAAATAATCAACTAAAGTTTGGGGTTTTTTAGTTATTTGGATAAAATATTTCTATTTTATTTATGAGACATGGAAGTTTTTAAAATGAAAAAAAAAAAATGATGTATATATAATTCTACGACCCCAGGCTTTACCTTTTGAAAAAAATCTTGTCCTTAATTTCCACATGCATGCGTAGACCTTGTGTAGCTGTGATGATAATATGTAGTTAGTTTTATTTTCTCTTCTCACTTGCCTCATATTGCTATAGAGACTTAGAATATCATTTAAATGGTTGTATAGTATTCCAATGAATGGACCGTACTTTAGTTAACTTCGTTTGCCATAGTGCTGGATGTTTTCCTTATTGCTTTCATCACTATTTTGGATAAGGCTGAAGGCCCTGTAAAATATTAGTATTGTCTCACAGCAGTGTTTCCTTGGAGTTATATATTCTCCAAAGAGCAGGCCACGGGGGGATCACTGTGGTTTTGGTATTTGATATCAATGCCTGATGTTTCCTGAAGTGTTTCTGCGGGCTCACTCTGCCAGCAACAACAACTTCACTCCCGTCCCATCTTTGGGTGTGGTTTTGTGGACTTAAGAGGTGCTCCTGGGATTTGGGTTCTTATATTTGACTTCTGACAGGGAGGGTCAACTTTTGTTTCCATAAGTTTTTCTTTTACCAGTTGTAGCTCCTCCCAGGAGAACTGTATGGTCTTGGGCTTTTGTGTTTGGTTTGGCTCAATTCTGAAAGGTTTTTCTCTTGCTTGGTTTTGTGCATCCCTGTGTGTGTATTCATTTATAAATTAGATATTCTGGCTGACTTTCTTACCAATTTCCATGAACTCTTTTTTTTAATAGAGTATTTTTTTATATTTTTATTAACATATAATGTATTATTTGCCCCAGGGGAACAGGTCTGTGATTCATCAGTCTTACACATTTCACAGCACTCACCATAGCACACACCCTCCCCAATGTCCATCACCCAGCCACCCCGTCCCTAACCCCCCACCACTCCCCAGCAACCCTCAGTTTGTTTTGTGAGATTGAGAGTCTCCCTCCCGATCCCATCTTGCCATAAACTCTTTATGTAATATTTTAAAAAGCATGAAGGAGGACATGGAAGGATAATTCTTGATGAAATGTGAGAGAACCTGTTCTGACTTCCTCTCTCATCTTTAAAACAGAGCGAGTGTCTGAGGCTGCCCTCGCTGAGTGATCCCTCCACAAACTTCTGTGTGTCCTGCTTCCCCAGAACTGTCCCTGTACTTCAGGACAGATCAGGGCTGGGGTGTAGTACCTGGGACTTGAGGCTGTTGACGCAGTAAATCCCAAGACAACCAAAGTCCAACTGAGGACACACAGCAGGTTGTAAAATTACTGACATTTTCATCATCAAATAAGATCACATTGATTCACAGACATTCTCTTCTGTGGTCACTGTACTTTGGGAAGGAAAAGTGAGGCTACAACTTTATATTTGTCTGTGCTCTGTTCTGGGTTATCTATCACAGAGTAACAAACCACCCAAACTTGGCGGCATGAAACAATGATAATTTATTGCTACCATCATTGTTATTATATATCACTTTTATTTGTCACGGTTTCCATGGCTGACTGGGTTCAGTGAAGCCATTCTCTCTTGGGGTATTGTATTGTCTTGTGGTTGCAGAGGGTGGCTGGGGCTGGTGACCCACATATCTGGAGGTTGATGCTGGCTGTGACTGTCAGCCAAAACACCTATCCATGGTCTTTCCATGGGACCTCACAGCATGGGCACTGCAAACTGTCACTTATGTTATCCTCAATTTGTCAAGGTAGCCACAAGCTCTTCCCAGGTTCAAGGGGAGGGGACATTGATTCTATGTCTTAACAGATGAGTAAGTAGGTCCCAGAAGAGCATGTGGGACTAAAAATATTGTTGAGCCATTTTTGGAAAATGCAGCCTGCCGTGAGTCACTTAGGGAATCTCCCTGACAACAGCTCCCTTGGTCTTTGGCAGTCCCATTCCTCCCCTGGTCAAGGTTACACACTTAGGCAGCTTCTCAGTGGCCCACTCTGTCCTTCCCACCATGGTGGCACTCTCTGAGTTCCAACAAGCAGAACAGCAGACAGCCATCCTTCACCTTCCCCACAACCTCCAGACCACAGACAGGTTGACATGGCAAATAAACCTGGGTATTCCTCTATGTAATCCTTTGCTCATTCCTGCCCTCTCCCTGTTTTCTTATTAGAGGCCTTCTCAAAAATGCCTCACAGTAACTGCTGCAGGCAAAGGTGCCTCGTGACACACGTCATGAGTGAGTGGCTGAGCCTCTGTAGATAAAATACAACTTAGAGAAAGCAACCGGTGACTCTTAAACCTAGATGTAAGTAATGCCACCTGAAGGACTCCTTAGAAATGCAGATTTCAGTTTTGCTTCAATTTCTGTGATTATAACAATCACTCAGCTGATTCTCTTGCAAGGGGTGTAGAGACCACACTTAAAAAAAAAAATTCCTTTAAAGGTCAAAGAAGGAGGGCTCTGGTCTTCTGAAGCCCCGTCACAGTGGACTCCGTAATGACATTTCCCCCTTGCCCCGTGTTGGATTGCATTCGGAGACCTGGTTATTCACTGTTCCTTGGGCTCTCACTCTCCTCTTCACACCTCTTTCTCCACCCCTGTATCTCCTTCCTGGGTGCAAGACTCATACAGCAATGCTCCTTTGCCTCTTGTCACTTGCATGAAATCAACGACCTCCAAGTCAACATGTCCAAATCCACACCCAGATCTTCCCTTCCCTCCTGCCTGTCCTCCTACATGTCCCTTTTCAGGGTTGGCTCCCTCACTTACCGTCACAGTTGTCTCCTCCTTCTTCAACCTCTGCATCCAGACAGGCCCCCAGGTCCTGCGCAGTCTGCCATGTAAAATTACACCGATTCTGCCACAAAGTCTCTCTTGAATTCAGCTCCTTCTCCCATTCCTGCTGGGCCTTGAGGAAAGGGGAAGCTGAAGCCTGGGTGTATGCCTTGGTAGGCTGAGACATTAGGCAAAACAGAGGTCAGGCGGGGAGGAGAAGGGGACTACATGGACTGAGGGAAGTAGAGCAAAGAGGAAAGACACGGCTAGACATCGGCCTATAAATTACAGCGTAAATGAGGCAGAGCGGGCTATCAGAGGCAGGGAGGTTTAGGAAATGTCTGCATTTGGGGGCAGAGACAGGAGATCTTATTCTCCCTGCTGTGTGGGGGTGTTCCCCTCCCCCAGTAGCATGCTTGCAGAGCCACCATCGTCCCCCATGCCCGCCTGCGTCTAGGCCTTTAGCACCTCCAGACTGGGCTGTTGCTGCGGCTGCTTCCCAGCTGCTCTCCCCAACTCATGCTCTCCTCCTCCAGTGCATGCCCCACCTGGACAGAAGTCCTCATTCTCAGTGGCTAGCTCAACCTCTTTTTCAGCAACTAGCCAGATCCTGCCGCAGTGGTTCTCAGAGTTGGTCCCTGGGCCAGCCGCAGCAGCATCACCTGGGAACTAGTTAGAAATGAAGGGTCTTGCCTCCTCCCTCCCCAGACCTACTGAATCTGAGAAATTCTGGGAGTGGGGCCCAGCTGTCTGTGTTTCAACAAGCGTGCAGGTGGTTCTGCCGGAGCTCAAGAACCTGTCTCTAGAGGGGCACCCTGTCAAGGCTCCCTGCCTCCCCCTCTGCTGGTCCTTTCGCTGCCTGAGCCCCACTCCTCCCGGGCACCCACCCAGCTGCTCAGAGTTCCACAAGACTGAACTCTTCTGTGTTAGACTCCATTCTTTCCCTGGAAGGTCCCCAACAGGCTCATACTGATTCAAAATGTAGGCATCGAGGTGTTTCCCCGTCTGTGTATTGTGCTTTGGGACAGCTTTTTGACATTGTTAGAGTGATGGCTTGCATGCCATTCCCCTCATACTGATTTAAAATGTAGGCATCGAGGTGTTTCCCCAACTGTGTATTGTGCTTTGGGACAGCTTTTTGACATTGTTAGAGTGATGGCTTGCATGCCATTCCCCTCTTTGTTCTCTCTCCACTGTGTGTGTGTTCAGAGGCCAATATCCTATTCCCATCCTGACTTGGATCTGAAAGTCCAGCACGGAGCCTGGGCATATTGGGAGAGTCAGTACATACATACTTAGTAAGTACCTGGGAAGGTGGTTGACTGGCCGAATCCTCAACTTGGGAAGAAAATAAAATGAGCCTTCAAATCAGCAGAAAACATCGGCTTGTCGGCCAGAATGCTCTTAGTATGAATATTTCCACAGTTCCTGCCAGTGGTATCAGTTACCTGTCAGATGACAGTAAGGTAGTAGAATTATTACTCTGGTTTATAGACCACAATATGTACAATAATGTAGAAGTAATTTGATATCTTAGTTGTAACATTTAAAGTTACTTCCCAAACCATTCTTTTAGACTTAGTCTGGTTTTGTTTAATGCAAGGCAGAAGCTGGTTTTTTTGTGACTAATTATCTGTGTTAATGTGTAAAAGTCACCATAGTTGAAACTTATCACAGTTTACAAAACAAAAAGAAGTCCACTCATCTGGACACACTTGTCTTGCCAGTTATTTCGGTATCTTGTGGGAATTTTAAGCATTTATTTGCCAGTATTCAAGATGATTCTCTACAGATTTCTCCAGTTGCCTGATTCAGAGCATCAGCCCCCAGCAAGGCAATAAGCAAAAGTTAACTCCTATCTTTCCATTTTCTGATGCAAAGGTATCAAAACATTCAGCGAACCATTGCAACAGAGAGGTCAGAAGAAGATTCTGGCAGCCAGAGTTGTGAGCAGGTCCCGGCAGGAGGCAATGGAGGAGGTGGTGGGAGCGACTCAGAGGCTGAATCTTCTCAGTCGAGCTTAGGTACGGAAGGAGGGGACCTGAGTCTCCTGGGTTGGCATTCGGTGGCAGCGTGACCATGTGTGGATCCCCGCCCTGCCTTGGGAATGGACTGGGTCCTGGGGGGAAGAGCGGTGGAATGGGGGCGGTCAGGCAGGGGGGAGGGGAAAGAGGCTTGGTGTCAGCAGTGTGAAACAGACAGCAGTTTCCCACCATGAACATAAAGGAGAAGTGAATTCATAGTAGGAGTACTCATACTTGTGCACTGAGGCAATTTTTCCAGTGGCCTAATGATTTCTCGTTGAGTGAATTAATTTGGGGGTGTCGTAAGAATTTTCCACTTATAAATAAAACATGCATTGAAAATTCACAGTCTACATCAAAGAACCTACATAACAACACTAGGAATAATTATTTGTTTGCATTTAAAATAAAATACAATTCCCCCTTGAGGGAGCAACCTGGGAGTAAAGAGGTTTTCCCAGAAGCTTACCTTAGGTACTCTTCTGCCCCCGTGCCTGGTTACCTAATACTGTAGGCCAGGCCTCCGCCAGTTGTCTGCTTTTCATTTCTTTGAATCTGCCTGAGTGGACTCAGACGAGAATATTCAAGAGGCATAGAAGACTGGCTTCAGTTTTTTATACCCGTAATGACAAAAGATTATCACAGTGACATCCCAATCCACTTTCTCTTAAGTTGGGTTGAGTGATGGCGTGTTGGAAGCTCAGGGCAGAAGCTCTCTGCTGCAGGGCAGAACAGTGGATTTCCGTGCACACACCCAGTCCCACCAACGACTGTAAGTGCGTCCACTCCATTTTACCAGATACGCTAGTTAAACTGACTGGTTTTAGTTTTTCTATGTATTCATTTTTGTGACCTCTGAGAGAGGTGTGCTCAAGTGGTCAAGTAATTAAAAGCAAGAGGAAAAAAAGGAATAGAAGATCCCTTTCTGAGTTTGGTTTTGGGAAGTTTTGCATTTGCTATGTAACAAACCATTCCAAAAGGTAGCAGCTTAAACTCCCAGCCTTGCATTTATCACACAGGAGAGCAATTGTATTTGCGGTGGGGCTTGCGCATGCGTCCTCAGTCCGCTGCCCCGTCCGCTGCAGGCTGACGACCCTGACGTGGTCTCATCTGGGCTGGCTGGTCCCTGCTCCCTGTAGCTTCTCATCTTGTCCCAGACTAGCCCAAGCTTGTTCTCACAGTGGTGGCAGGGTCCTAAGACAGAGTGGGGACGTGAAGACTTCCTGGAACCCTGGCTTACAAGTTCTGCCAAACTCTGTTACTCTAAGGAAGACACAGGCTAGCTCAGTTCAGCAAGAGGAGAAGTGCAGAGTCTCATGCCGGTGAGTGTGGATGCAGGGAGGGGAAGAACTATGCCTCTTTCTGCAAACCACCTTAACCGTGCTTAGCCACTCATAAAATAAGAACGACATTGTTATAAAAGGGGCAAGATGTTCGAGGATGTGAGCCTACTGGAGTTACGCAGCAGCACTCCTAGGAGATAACCACTCTTCTTAGCACACACAACGTGATAGGACATCTGGTCCTATCACCGGGATACCTGCTCATATCACTGTTCAGAACCACAGTCTGGTCCCAGCTGTCCAGTCAAAGCTCAACGCACTGCTGGTATAGAGAGAGAAGTACTACATTTGAAATGACTTTTTCCAACGTGTCCATTGCTTTGCTTTCCTTTTGCCAGATCTGCGGAGAGAAGGGTCACTTTCTCCAGTGAATTCACAGAAAATCACCTTGTTGCTGCAGTCCCCAGCAGTGAAGTTCATCACCAACCCCGAGTTCTTCACTGTACTACACGCCAATTATGTGAGTACTCTTGAATCAGAGGGGGCCCACCTGGCTCCCATCAAAACTCAAAACGCTCCTTTGCTAAGTTGTTTAAAGGAGGAAAAAGGAAGGCGTTTTAACCCAGGCAAGACTGAAACCAAAACAAAACAAAACAACTCTGTCCACTCCTTCTATCTGGGAGTCTCCCAAAAAGGAGAAGGACTGGATTTGGCAATGCTGTTGCTTCTTTGTTTTCATTAGGCACAAATGTATCAATATCAGTGAAAGTCCTTTGGAAACAGATAGGTGTTTCTGTTACTGCTAAAATTTTATTTAAAGGAACAAGATTACGAAGTTGACCGATTCCCCTCAGCCTGCATCATTTTATAAAATCACTTCCATTAAAGAAATGTTAAATTAGATTTCTCCTAGATAAATATCTAGTTTTCCCTTTAATGAAATGAGATGTTCAAATACCATACTTAAGTTATTTTTGCATATATAGTGGGTTGTTTTTTGTATTTTCAAGAAAGCAATTACATGCTTTCCCTATATTCATTAATTCTTTCATTAGACATTTTCTGTGGACAGATGCAGATCTAGGTGCTGGCCTCACAGACATAGCATGACAGCTGAACCGCACAAGCTCCCAATTTGTGGAGCAACAGACACGTAGAAAGACTAGTCTGACGTGAGAGGACAGCGCCCAACCTCAGGGAGGAATGAAATGCTCTGGAAATACCAGAGATACAGTCTAGGGGAGCATCCCTGAGGACAGGGCTGCTGAGCTGAGTCAGGAAGGTTGCAAGGGAGTGGGAAGAAGCTCCAGAGAGAGGGAGAAAGGATGCAGCTGTGAAGAGGCTCAGGGTTGGGTATGTGAGGTTGGGATGTGGTGACGGGCAAAGGTAGGAGGAAGGGCTGGAGAAGAAGTAGCAAAACTCAGGGAAGTCATGAGAAGGAGCATAGCTATGCCTCAGAAGGCGGTAGGAACAAACAACAGTCCTAGGCATTTACGTTACAGGATCAGGTGTTTGATTAAACATCTTCTCTATCAGAAGGGCTGAGACTGGGGGGCTATACGGCTAGAGGCTGATCCAGTGTCACAAGTGAGAGATGATCGAGGCCCACCCTGAGGAAGGGGCTGGGAGGACAGAAAGGGGGACCATGGTGATGGAGGCAGGCAAGGGTGAGGACTCGAGAAAGTCGGAGTCTTTTCTGCTTTGGGCACCTGAGTTAGGGGTGAAATTACTTGCACCTGAGCAGGTGCAATTATTTGATTAGGTGACAGTGGGAGGAGACCAGTTTTTAGCAGGTTTTATTTGAGAAGCCTCTGGGACATTTGTTGTTAGATTCAGAGTGGCTGCCTACTGGGGCAGGGGTGAGTCACAAAGGGGGACAAGGATGCCAGATGTTGATGCTCTCAAGCACTGGGCACCAGGTGGCCCTGGCCAGGAGGAGTCACGGCCCCACTCTGGCAGCAAGCGGGGTTGGCTTCCAGCCCTGTGGACCGGAAAATCATCATTTGGCACAACTAAAAACTCTGGAAACGTTTTCCTTTCTTCTCATCCCCATCCCCTCCACACAGAGAAGTTTGTGACAGACCTCTGAAGGCCAGCCTTAAGTCCCCAGGGAACCTAAATTAATCCTCCTTGTTACAGACACAAAAGTGGAGCAAGGGAGGACTGGTGCAGGCAGAGAAGGGTGGAGAAGAGAAGGGGGCAATGCTCCCAGTGATGAATGGAGACTCAGGAGAGCCCAGCCTAGCGCTGACTGGGGAGAAGGGGGAGGGGAGCCTTTGAGTGTCCCCCCCCCCTGCCCCGCCCAGAATGTGACCGTATCAGAGGCTGAGGAAACACCCATACAGATCAAGCAGATCCATGTGTGTTTATCGTGCACATTTAATTTTTGAGCAAGATCTCCCCTTCTGAGGCTTCCCCCTCCATGCTCACAATAAATCACTGTGTTAGCAATCAGGTTACATTGCGATAAGGTGCTCAAGGTGTATTTGGTCTGTATTTTTCCTACCCCCCTCCCCCAACCCTCTATCCCAACCGGTCCTGACCCCCCTCTCAGGGTGCCTACCGAGTCTTCACCAGTAGCACCTGCTTAAAGCACATGATTCTGAAAGTCCGGCGGGACGCACGCAATTTCGAACGCTACCAGCACAACCGCGACTTGGTGAATTTCATCAACATGTTTGCAGACACGCGGCTGGAACTTCCCCGGGGCTGGGAGATCAAAACGGACCAGCAGGGAAAGGTGAGTGTGACTGACAGGTGGGCCTTTCAACAGAGAGCTCTTTATCTGAAGAAGACCCATGAGAAAGCGAGGGGTGGGGGAGATGAGTGAGGACAGGAAAGTCTGTGTCTCAGAGATGTGCCATCAGCTACCAGGAGGAAGAGAGGTTCCCATCCTGCAGCAGGGTTTCTGTCCTGCAATGTCCCCGGCCTCTTGCCCCCTGATGCCAATAGCATCAACACCAACTTGGGATATTGCTAGATATTCCCTAGAGAGCAAATCATGCCCAGTTGAGAATTGCTGCCTATGTGTTTGGAAATTGAAACCAGAGTCTGTTCAATGACCTTTCTATGGTTATGCCTCCATAGACGGCTAACTCTCAGGGAATGAGATTATTAGTTAAGTGGGAATGACATTATTAGATTACTTGTGGTGATTTTCCTAATAAGCCTTCAGTTCTCATTAAAACAGCCTGACAAATGGGCAGGGTATCTTGGGCCCACGTGATGTTACTGGCTTGCGTATTGCCTTTGTGTGACCTTAGCCAAAACTGATCTTTCCCAGGGATGCTTTGGAAGCCTTGCTGAGTTTGCTGCAGCAAAAATGTTCTTTCTTAATCATCACCAGTCACATCAATGTATTTACAGGACAGGCCAAACAGTTTATGAAAGACTTGTCTCTTGTGTAATTTTTTTTTTGAGGGGTGGGGTCTGTGGTAGAGAGAATCCCTCCCTTTTTTAGGGTCAAAGGAATCAGAAATTTTGTCAGTAGACATGTCTCAGTCTCTGTGATGTTCAGTGTGCCACAGTTCCCCAAAGTGGGCTGATAGGGTGCCATTGTCCCCTGGGAACCACAGGGGACCTCCTCCCCACAAACCCCTTAGCATGTCTCAGTACCTGGACTCTCTGAAGTGTGTGGAGAAAGAGTGGCCACTAATGCAAGTCTGTTACTCAGTAAATCTGTATGACCGGGTCCTGTGTAGTTGGGTGAATTGGAAAAGGGTCTTGGGTGGGGGGTATGCTTTGTGTAGTAGAAAAACCTCGAGAGCCAGGATCTGCTCCTAAGGACCTTCTCTTTTACTGGGTGTGTCCTCCACTTGGAGAATGACAGTGATTTATGCTGGGAGGACCTGAGGATGTGTGTTAGGGTGGGAAATAAATCCTGAGCCAGACAGAAAGGAAAGGAGCCAGAGTGCACGTGCCTCATCTTGGTGGTCTGTGGTCGCCATATTTACATTATTACTTAACTAAGTTGTCAAGACTACACCACTAGGAATCAGTGAACAGAAAGGGTCATTATGGTTTATTATGCAAATAGCACACTAATGCAAACAACTTGCTTAGCCCAGATTTCCTTAACACCCTAAGTGCATACAGCTCTCACACTAGGATGCAAACAGCCGGAGATTCAGCAGAATGCCACGAAACCCCCCAGTGCCGTCAGCCCTGTTTCTCCAGGGTGCATCACACTAGCAAAGAAACACAGTAGCTGAGACTTGCACCAAGAATTTTAGCCATTTTGAAATGTATATTAGGGAATTTCTGGCAAAACATTTTCCCCCTAATTTTGTTTAGTGATAAGGTACCATATATAAGAAAGAAGGAAGTCTGAATCTAAAATGAGAGGGCTTGAATTCTGCTTTCAGTTATGACACAAACCAGCTGTGTGACTAGGTACACACACATAAAATGGTCTAATTCTTTACTAATTGAGCACACACAGACTCAGAGTTGACAAACAAAACTTCTAAGAAGCATACCATGCACTGAATTGTTGCGGGGGTGGGGGGAGGGGAAGTAGCCTTCAATTAAAAATGTATTATCACAATCCATAGGGTAGAGAGGAACAATGGAGGATAGTGGGGAAGGTGTACAAGGACTATCCCATTCCATTCTAAACACGTGACCATGAGCAGGTTCCTTTACTGCTCTGAGCCTCACTTTATCCGTCATAAAGTAGCAATAATTATTATTGCCTTCATGCCAGTTATAAAGAGTAAATAAGTGAATGTGGGCATCCATGATAATAGAGTAGATTAGTAATTCCTGCTGTTCTTCCTCTTGATGCTGTGGGAATTGTCCAATCCAAAAAAATGCAACATCAGACTGGCAACTGGAGAAAATACAAGAATACCTCATTGCTAAAGCCCATCGATGATGGGAATAGGTTGAGAAGAACATTTATGGACTGTCTCCTACAGGCTCACCTCTCTGACTTGGAAAGAATGTGTTGCACAGGAGCCTAGGATCTAGGAACAGCACTCACTATAAAATCAGGGGGTCATAGCTTTCTATGCAAAAGACATTTTCACAGATGGCCAGAGAAGGTTCCAGAATGCCACAGCACCTTCTGGTTCCTCATTCTAGCCAATCTGCTTCTTGCTTTATTGACATGTGTGAAGACAACAGCCTTTGTTTTTAGTGTACGCCATGGTGGGCATAGAAGACCAGGGCTGGCTGTTTGATGTCTTTGAATGCATGATCATCCCCACAAAGGGGTTCAGGAACAGTGCTCTGACAGTGGCACCACTTCAAGAGGACCAGAGTGAAGGCCCAAATGGCATCTGACTCATCCGTTGTCTTGGAAGTCTGAGAAAGGAGGTCACAGCCTTCTGCCAACTTCGGTAGAGATTGGATGTGGACCTTAAGAAGGTTCCAGGCTTGAGTGAGGGGGAGGCTTATCATCCAGAGAACGCGTGGGGCTGCAGGTGGTGGGGCAGGGGAGGGTCTGCCTGTGGCCGGCATGCGACAGAGGCAGCCTCTACTAAGGAATGAACACACAACAGCAAAATGAACAGGAGCCTATGAAGAGACCCACTACTACATGAAGGAAACCGAACCTTTGAGAAAAAAAGACATCTTGCAGTATAATTTCCTTCAGAAAATAGAAGAATTTAAAAGGCACCTGCCAATCATACAAGATGGTTTAGGAGCACGTGGTTTCTATTGAGCAAGAAGAAGCAGCCATGAACTGAGAAAAGCTGAGAGGAGGCAGATGTAAGAAAACAGAACTACCATATGATCTGGAAATCCCACTTCTGAATATATATCCGAAAGAATTGAAATCAAAATCTCAAAGAGATACCTGCATTGCTATGTTCCTCAAAGCGTTAGTAACAATAATCAGGCAACCTAAATGCCCACTGACAGATGAATGGGTAAAGAAAATGTGGTGTATAAGAAGGGAGGTAGGGGGGTGTTAAACAGTGATGAGGGTTAAGGAGCACACATGTTAGGAGGAGCACTGGGTGACATACGTGAGTGTCGAATCACAATATTGTACACTGGAAACTAATGTACTGTATGTTAACGAGCTGGAGTTAAACTAAAAACTTTTAAAAAGGTATGTTTGTAAATGTATGTGCAGAAGCATATGGGAATAGAACTGCTCCTAACTCAGTGAAACTGCACAGTTGATAATGTGTCTGTCAAGTAGCATCTTTCATTAAGATATTAGTGTTAAACAGGTGTTGGCGAGGTTGCGGAGAAAGGGGAGCCCTCTTGCACTGGTGGTGGAAATGCAAACTGGGGCAGCCACTCTGGAAAACGGAGGTTCCTCAAAAAGTTAAAAATAGAGCTACCCTACCATCCAGCTATTGCACTACTAGGTATTTACCCAAAGAATACAGAAATACTAATTCAAAGGGATACAGGACCCCCAGTGTTTACAGAAGCAGCATCAGCAATAGCCAAAGTATGGAAACAGCCCAAGTGCCCATCAACTGATATACAGTGCAATGTTACCAACCATAAAAAGGAATGCAGTCTTGTCAGTTGCAAGGATGTGGATGGAACTAGAGTGCATTACGCTAAGCAAAATAAGTCTTGTCAAAGACAAATACCGTGTGATTTTACTTACGTGTGAAATTTAAGAAACAACGTGAAAAAGCAAAGGGTGGGGGGAAAGAGGCAAGCTGAGAAAGAGACTCTTAACTATAGAGAACAAACTGATTTTGTTTTTTTATTAGTATGTTAGCCACCATATAGTCATCAGTAGTTTTTTGATGCAGTGTTCCAAGATTCATTGTTTGCATATAACACGCCGCGCTCTGTGCAATATGTGCCCGCCTTTTCAAACTCAACACCCAAAAAACTGGTGGTTACTAGGAGGGAGGTGAGTGGGAAGGGATGGGGGAAATAGGTGATGGGGATTCTCCAGTGAACTTGTAATGAGCCCCAGCTGTTGCATGAAAGTGTTGAATCGCTGTATTGTACACCTGAAATTAATATGATACTGTGTCTTAACTGGAATTCGAAAACTTATTTAAAAAAGAAAATGTGGTATATACATATAGTGGAACATCATTCAGTGTTCCTTAAAAATGAACGATGAACCTGGAGGACATTATGCTCCGTGAAATTAGCCAGTCACAGAGGGACAAATACTGCATAATTCCCCTTACGGGAAGTATTTGAAATAGCCTCAGAGTGACAGAGCAGAATGGCGGCGGCCAGGGCTGGGGCAGGAGGAAATGGGGAGTTGGGTTCATTGGGTGCAGTTTCAGTTATACAAGATGAGAAAGTTCTAGAGACCTGCTGTACAGACTTGTGTTAACAATACTGTTCTGCTCTGTGCACTTAATACCATATGGCTAAAATTTTGTTAGAGAATAAGTGATTAAGTCTCACATGTTCTTCTACAATTTAAAAAAAAGGCTGAAAGTAAACGTTTTAAGATCGCAAGGAAGAACAACATGTAGTAGCATAGGGATAAAGCCGAGCAGAACTGATGCTATATAAAAATCCGATCACTGAGAGAGAACATGGAAACAACCTCCAAAGTCGGGGAAGAAACCAGATCGCAAACAGGGAGGAGTAAGTTGAAAATAAATAAATAAATAGATAGATAGATAGATAGATAGATAGAAAAAAATAAAAGCAAAAAGACCATATCTCACTTTCTCAGCCAGGCCTGTCCTAACCATTCTATTTAATACCAAAAGCACCCAAGATCCCCAACCCATGTGCTCCCCCATAGAAGTTATATACTTGTTAGATTTATTGTTTTGTCTGTTTCTCCTGACAAAATTTTGAGCTCCTTGAGAGCAGGGATCTTTGCTCATTGATGAAACCCCAAGGGCTTAGAATATTCCTAGCATATAATTACCACTCAGTTAAAATCTCTGTTGGGGAATGGCTTAGGGATGTTCCCAAAGAAGAAACCAGAATAATAGGTAGAACAACAAAAATTAAATTTGAAAGATAAACATTCACTTATTAAATATTGAAAATAAAATTTTGTGCTCTAAAATAAATTGCTCAGGTAGGCAGATTAATGGGGCTTGCTGAGCTATATTAAAATTAATTAAAATTCTGTATCTACACATACTCTGGAATTGTCTTTAAATGGGGATTTTTTTAAAAATCTTATCAGTGGGGCGCCTGGGTGGCTCAGTGGGTTAAAGCCTCTGCCTTCGGCTCAGGTCATGATCCCGGGGTCCTGGGATCGAGCCCCGCATCGGGCTCTCTGCTCAGCAGGGAGCCTGCTTCCTCCTCTCTCTCTGCCTGCCTCTCTGCCTACTTGTGATCTGTCTGTCAAATAGATAAAATCTTAAAAAAAAAAAAATCTTATCAGTATATAGCCATGATAATATGAAAGTTACCTTAAAAAGAATAAAAATCAGGCAAGCTTAAAATTTTCCATCCATGAAACTCAACTACAGAAATTCACAGAGCAAGGAGTACAGGTTATTGATGAGAAAAATTTGCAGCCCCCAAATTCTATATCCAAACAAATTGGTGTCATTCAAGTGTGAAAATACTAGAAAAACCACCTTACATGCAGGATTACATGTACTCTCTTGCCTGTCCAAAGAAAACACCAAAAGCCATTCCCCCGATGACTTACAAATGAAGCAGAACAGGAAATCAATAATAGAGAAAACAGTATAAAAGGACTATGGTGGTGAATATTTAAATCAATCAAATATATGAATGTAAGTGTAAATAATTGTTAAAATGCTTTAAAATATTTTGAAAAAGATTCAATAAAATATGGGAGAATATGTATAAGAAAAATGGAAAAATTGAATAACAATTATCTGAATCATATTCCTAACCTAAAATAAAATAGACGAGGGAAGAGGGCCGGTGAACAGGGCAAGGAAAGTTGTGCTAATGTTCATAGTTGAGTAATTTGAAAAACAATGGCTAAATATAGTTATTTGATCAACTTAGAAGGCAACTATTTGTACCATTGAAAGCAAGATTTTTCTGTTTCAAATTTCTACCAAAATAAGATCAAGCAAAATACGGTATATATAGCAAAATACCCCCAAAATCCACCAGGAAGCAAAAAAATTGGAAATAACCAAAATAAAATAACAAAAGTACAGCCAAGCATAATAGTCATAGTGATAGGTGGAAATAGGATAAACTTATGTACCAAAAAGGAAAACACTTTCAGATTTGGTAACAAACAGATCCAGCTTACTAAAAGACATACCCAAGAAATGATTCAAAGTTTAAAAAATAAAAGAATAAATATTAATAGAATGTAAAAACCATAACAAGAAAATCAGTGGTGGTATATTAATATCATAGAAAGAAGAGTTCCAAATTCACACCATTAAATGGAGTCAAAGTAAGATTTTTTATAAATCAAAGGCACAACTAAAATAAAGATACATTATTCATATATATTATGAGCCAAATAGCATCATAGCATATATAAAGAAAACTAAAAGAGAAATACAAAAGGAAATTAAAAAATGCATTGTAGGAAAATGAGTTTTGTATCTATCAGTTTGACAGAAGGACAAAATAAGTCAGGATTTGAATAATATAGTTTTATAATAATGGATATATATTATTTTGTTAAAAATAGACTTTATGTAGACCTTAATTACATACAATTTTTATTTGTCAATTATACCTCAATAAGGGTAGAAAAAATAGAAGTTACATGAATGAATAAACAAAATGTGGTATCACCCATACAATGGAAGATTATGCATCCTTGAGAAGCAGTGAAATTCTGACACATGCTACAGCATGAATGGACCTTGAAAATATCATGCTAAGTTAAACAACTCAGAAACAAAAGGACAAATATTTTATCTCACATGAGGTATCTAAAAATAGTGAAATTCATAGAGACAGAAAGTAGAATAGAGATTCCCAGGGTTTGGGGGAAGGAAGTAATGAGGAGTTTGTCTTTAATGAGTACAGAGTTTCAGTTTAAGAAGATGAAAAACTTCAGGAGATGAACAGTGGTGATGGTTACATGACAAAGAGAATGTATTTAATGCCACTAAACTGTATACTTAAAACTGATTAAAATGGCAAAGTTTACGTTTTGTACATTTTACCACAATTTTCTTTAAAAAGAAAAAAAACAGTTTATAACTCCTTTATGAGATCCTTGGAGCTTTTTTTTTAAATAAATGATAATATTTTATAACACAAAGAAAACAGAAAAGCATAAAATACTCATGTTGCATTCCATGGCCATAAGCAATAGAGCTAAATTTTAAACAACAAATTTAGAGTCAGTCAGGAAAAGACATACTGTATGATTTTACTCCGTGTGGAATTTAAGAAATGAAACAGATGAACATGGGAGGGAAAAGAGAGGCAAACCATAAAACAGACTCGTAATGATAGAGAAGAAACTGAGGGTTGATGAGGGTTGGCACTTGTGATGAGCACTGGGTGTTTTTTCTAAGTGATGAATCACTGAATTCTACTCCTGAAGTTAATTAATATTGTACCACATATTAATTAACTAACCCATAAAACTATGAGAAAATGTTTGGCATCCCCTGTAAACAATAATTCAGCATCATTTACCATTCAGCATTTCTAAGGGGTCTTTCAAATACTCCACATTTATAAAGTCCATGAAAAGCACTCATGGACTTATGATGAGGATAAGAAGGTAATTTGTTAATATAGACCAATAAACAATTTTTTTCTAATTTTAGCCCAGTGATTAACTCAACTTTTAGGAATTTATACTAAAGAATTGCCACATATGCACTAATAACAAGAAACCCATTTAACTTTAATTTATAAACTTGCAGGCATATAGTTCAATAATAAAAAGTCACCTTCAAATATTGACTTCAGCTTATACTTGTGTGTTTAAAATCTCATGTTATAGAAACACGTTGATAAATGTGGTTTTTTTTTACTCACATTTTTTCTTCTTCAGATTCTTTACTCATCTTTTTGATATCACCAGTGCCACTTTTGAAACACCAAACCCAGTTTTTCAGGGCACATCATCTTTAATCCCATCCAGATTGGACATACGGACTTTTTTTACTTTTATTTTATATTTCTAAGATTTTATTTATTTATTTGAGAGACAGAGAGCACAGGCAGGGGGAGGGGCAGAGGAAGAAGAAGATTTCCCACTGAGGGGAAGCCCAACTAGAGGCTGATCTCAAGACCCTGAGATCACGACTTGAATCGAAGGCAGATACTTAAGGCACTGAGCCACCCAGACGCCCCCAAATAGGCCTTTTTGAATCTGTGTGGAATGCTGTCCTGGGAATTTTACAGCAAGTCACAGATACTGAGTCACATGATATTAGGGGAGTTAATCTCCTATATCCTGTGGAGGGAACTTTGGGTCCCCATAATGAAACCACTTCTGTATCACTTTTTATAGAGCTCTTTAACAAAAGAGACTTGTTTGCAAAGACATCTAATACTTGAAATTATAAGCTCATACTTCCCAAGAATAATTTTTACATCTGTATTTGACTTGGACTACCTCTGTAAGGTGGCATCTGAGTGCGTCTACAATGAGCAATGATTGAGGTCTTTAAGAGGAAGTCACCTTCACCAAACATTACATTTTGTTCAAGATAGTATTTGAAAGATTGTTTAGTAGTACAAAAGGGGTTTTTTTCCTGAGAAGGTACCAATTTTATGAGAGGTAATTTTAGATTTAAATAATAACTTTTGTCACATATTGGGACATGTACAGTAATCAGACATGCTGCAAAGATTTATGAACAAGAATGTTTATTGAAGCATTATTTTTAAAACAGTAAAAAAGTAAAATGTCCAATGATAGAGGGTACCAAAATTACTGTACATCCATCAAGGTATATACCTGCTAAAATTGTGTTAAAAGAATGTCTGATAGCTTAAGGAAATGCTCATAAAATAGGAGATGGAAAAAAATCTTCTAACAAAATTGTAGGTGCCGCTGTGGGGAAAATATGTAGATATTTGTATATTTGCATGAGAAAAGAAAAAACTTGTGGAAAGGTCACGTAATATTTTGATGATTACCCTTGGATTGTCATATGTGAGGTAATTTTGATTTTCTTCTTACTTTTTTATCCTTTTAAAATTTCTTCTCAATGAGACTGTGCTAATCCTGTAATCAAAGAAAGACTTTATTTTTTAAAATAAAGTTTTTCATGAATTATTGCTAGTGTTATTTTAATACACTGAAGGCTCTATTTCTCTTACTTTCCACGGTGAGTAAAGTGTTATGACCACGAGTCTGTAACTCCGCTGTGAAGTGTTTATCAGTGACTGGCATGCCCCCATCTCCCATCTAGTTTTGAGCAGATAAAAAGGAGGGTCAGAAATAAACTCGAAGACTGAGCCCTGTAGCACTCCCTTACTTTATTGACCTCACTCTGGCTCGTTCTCATGCAGTGCGCTTTTTTACTGGTCTATCTGCAGTCTTTCTTCGTGGACCACAACAGTCGAGCTACCACTTTCATTGACCCCCGAATCCCTCTTCAGAACGGGCGTCTCCCCAACCACCTGACCCACCGACAGCACCTGCAGAGGCTTCGGAGCTACAGCGCTGGAGAGGTAACCGCCCCCCCCCCACCAGGTTCATGGTTCCACAGGCCTTGCTCCGTTTTCGTGACTGCGATCTAGGATTGCCTGCTCCCCAAGGGGCTCTGCCATATCCCCACTGGTCTTTAGAAGAGTGCAGAGTCAGGGACACCCACTGAACTTCGCAGACCCATCTTCAGACCGCCTTCCTTCTGCCTTCCGTTTTGTCCTAACAATCGCCACTACAAAGACTGTGTCTAGCTTAAGGGACATGGAAAATGCAGGCTCAGGAGACCCGCACACCAGGCCTGGACTGTGCTTCCTTAGGCCTGCCAGTCACATGTGAATTCCTAAACGATCCTAAGGATATGACTGACATTAAACTTTGGGCTCTTCATAGATCCCAGAGAAGACATCAGTACCATAGACATACATGGACCAAAAACTGGGGGAAATCCACTGGGGACATGAATACTCTCTCTGCATCCTACCACGTGCTCTTTCCTGGTTTATATCTTTAGTCACTGCCTATGGTCACCTTCCGCTGAATCGTGAAACTGTGCTTCTTAAACATCATGGGCATTGCCTTTCTCAAGTACTATCTCTTTATCCCATACCCTTTCCTGGCCTCCCTTCTCAAACCAAAACTCCAAACATAGCTCTTTTCTACTTCTAGTCCGTTCCTGGCAATACTTTGAGTAAATCCCTTACTGACGTTTCCCAGGTATCAGTACCATCCTGGAGATCAGCAGGATCTCATGAGGTGGTGGCCACTGAGAACCCTTTCTTGTAAAACAGCCTGTCGTGTTGGATTACAATGAGGCAAAAAATGAAGTAGTACAGGGTGAAAGAAGAAGGTGTGTGTGTGTGTGTGTGTGTGTGCACACGCGCTTGTGTGCGGCTCCCCACTGCCCCCGCATCATTCCAGGGAGAACTAGGGTGAATGTCTCAGGAGAAATGGGGAAAATAACAATCCACCTGGCAGCCTCAGACAGCAAGTCTCAAGGGAAGAGCTTGTTCCTGACCTATTGGTACCAGTTTACTACTCTTTTAGGGGAAGCATCTGTATCCTGACAGGCCTAACTCTTCCCAACCGAGGGCGCTCACAGTATAATGCCAGTGTGAGAAAACGGATTTCTCTTTCATGGGTCATCTTGGGTTTTGTTTTAGGATACTGCTGAAAACATGCTGATTCTTTCGTTCTGCGTATATGTAAAATGTGCACCTGACCATGCAGAGAAAAATATTATGCATTCCCCCAGGTTACATGGGTGTCAGGAGCACAGATAGCAGACACTCTGCAGCTGCCATGCTCGCAGACGACAAAAAGCAGTGCCCAACTTCCCGGCTCAACAGGCATTGATTGTATCCCTCTCTGGTGGCACTCACTTACAACACTTCAGAAAGTATGGCATTTGTGAGATCATAGTGAATAAACTCAAGATTCTGAATCAACTTGAAATATGCCATTTAATTTATTTAAAATATCCAAGGTCTTTAGTATTATTAAGGCGATTTCATCGTTACGAGAGATGAACCACATTTGATAAAAGAAGCTGAGTCCTGAAGTCAGGTTCACTGTCAATAAAATGAAAAGGTAGGTTCCTCCTACCTCCTACCTACCTAAGGTAAACCCCCTAAATCTCTAGATCTCTTACATGTATAAGAAAGTAACCTGAAAATACAAGTATTAAGACATTTCTGTTGAAATGAGATTCAGGTCATGAGTGCCACTTGCATTACCCGCTCTGAAACTCTTACTTAATCTGACTGAAGAGCCCAAGCACGGTTACACTGGATAGCAACGTTAATGACAGAGTCCCGCCTGCATCAGCCAAGAAAGACTGTAACACTTAACGAAGAACGGTGACAGGGCATACGCGTGCCTCAGCCGTCTGCGTTCTTCCTAATTCATTCACTCTCCCACTGACTCAGTTGATCAGGTTTTTAAACGCATCCCATCCCTCCCCACATCCCCTGGTTGCTTTGCGCTGACACAAGGAGAAATCGAGAAAAGCTGGGAGGCAGAGAATCACTCACTGGGGTAGCATTCCAGAGAAAACAAAGACCCAGCCTCTGTGAAAATCAGTTTCTGGTTCGTCCTGCTGCGAAAGCCCAGAGCCCAGGGAATGAGACGACAGGAGGATCTTGGTATAAAAACAGGAGGAGGGGGTAGTGGGAAATGTTAATTGTGTTTGCTGTGATATGATTTTGCTCAGCAAACATTGATTAAGTGCGTGGCTTGCTATGAGCCCTGTGGAATGCAAAGAAGTATGAGATATGATCCCTGCCTGGGGGGATTTTATAGCCTGTGTTTGAAGCCAGGCCAGAAAACACAGAGTTAAGTACCAAGAACAATTAGAATATGATTGAGTGCCAAGAGAGATGTTAGGACAAGTGCCACAGAAGTTCAAAAGATGCCAAGGAAAGACATCTTTAAAGTTAATGTACTTGACCTAACCCTAGTATCTAGCCAGGTACAAAGGAAGAGGAAGGGCAACCCCACAGAGAGCCCGCGTGAGCAGAGATGCAGCGGTAGGATTGAGAAAGGGCAGTAAAGAGACAACAAATATTTCACTGTGACCAGAATAGGGTTTCCACTTGTGTTTTGTCTTGTTTGTTTATTTATTTATTTATTTATTTATTACTTTATTACCTTTTCCGTGTTCCAAGATTCATTTTTTAGGCACCGCACCCAGTGCTCCATTCTATACGTGCCCTCCTTAATACCCACCACCAGGCTCACCCAATTCCCCACACCCTCCCTTCCCAAACTGTTTGTTTCTCAGAATCCACAGTCTCTCATGGTTCATCTCCCCCTCCGATTTGCCCCCAATTCATTTTTCCTTTCCTTCATCTAATGTCCTCAATGTTATTCCTTATACTCTTCAAGTAAGGGAAACCATATGATAATTGACTCTCTCTGCTTGACATATTTCACTCAGCACAATCTCCTCCATTCCCACCCATGCTGATACAAAAGTTGGGTATTCAACATTTCTGATGGAGGCATAATACTCCATTGTATATATGAACCATACCTTCTTTATCCATTCATCTGTTGAAGGGCATCTTGGCTCTTTTTTAAAAGCATTGAATTCCATATGGTTGACACTTCCCCATGAGCCCACTGAATGAATTTGAGAGGAATAACATGATGGTTTTTGTGGAAAAGTGGCTTTAGAGGAGAAGACTGTTGGCATTTTGAGGACACTTCTGTAATGTGTGGAATTGTCCCCTGCCATTGCAGGACCTTTTTTCCTGCTCACATCCATTAACTGTCAGGAGAGCCCTCACCTCAGCCATCACTATGACAACCGAAACAAACAAACAAAAAAAAAACAAAATAACCTCTAAGCGTTTCCAAATATTCCCATGTGGTCGTACCACTTTAGTTAAGAATTGTATTTTATAGTCAGGCAAACTTAAAAATCAGAAATTCAGGTCACACAGGGAGTTCAAGACCACAGTTCAGATCTAACTCCCAGTCCAGTGTAAACTAGTATTTTAGAAAACAGACAATGGCGGCCAGGAAGAGGAAAGAAAGGAGTGATCTGCAAGAGAAAGGCCCAAGAGGCCACTGGAGGTGGCCAAGAGACCTAAGATGAAGAACACTCCTTGGGAAGAAGACTGCAGAGGTTAGGAGGTCGGAGGAAGGGGTACCTGGGACCTCAGTTAGCAGATGGAGTCTCAGCCCTGGCTTTGCCACAGAGGAGGTGTGTGTCACTCGTCCTTCCTTTCCTTTCTGGGGCCTCAGTTCCCTCATCTGCAGGGGGGACCGGGGGACTAGATGGCTGGCTCTGTGATTCTCAGTCTGTGAGCCTTGTGGCACATTAACAACACGCAGGTAAGATGAACAGGATAGCAAGTTGGGGAGATGGCGGGTTTGCTCTCAGGTAAGTTAGATAGTGAGTAGGAAAGCAGTAGGCTATTCAATTTGAAATGATAGTTAAGCAGATGGAAATATGAGATTCGGGAATAATCAGTGAACTATTTCCACAATCCGTGGTTTTTCCGTGTCACATGTCAGGGGCACTGGGGGATTTGCTATAGATGTTTCTTAGGCCACAACTTTAGGAATCATTATTTTCTGTTTCACCTTCATGAGCCATTCCCTTAAGTGCTGCTCAGCACTGAATGTTTTATCAATTGCCTTTAAAGACAGAATTGAAATCAGCTCCTATATTCGGGATCCTAAATGGTAAAAATTTCCCTCAAACCCCTGTGATAGGTTATTAACAGAGGCACTGTCACATTTCTTTTAGATTTTTTTTTTACTTCAAATGAAAATTTTTCAGACATTTTGCTGAAAGCAGTTATCAGGAATATAGTACTTTATGCATAAAAAGATCATGATTTGATGCTTTAGCCTGCATTTTAGTACAGTGTCACATTGTCTACAATATACAAAAAAAAAAAAAAAAAGTATTAACAGAACAGGCCTAACTCTTCCCTTAATGTCCAAAAGGAAATGGACACAGATAAATGGAAAGAGCGTATCGGGCTATAAATATTGGGTCCCATCTCTCAGTAAGGAAATCACCAAAGATCACATTTGTCTTGTTTTTGCAGCAAGTAACAATATAAATTAACAATAAGGAAGGATAACTGGGTACATAATTTTTATTTCTTTTAACATCTTATTTTGGTCAGGTTAGAAAGTCATTAGTCATAGGAAAGTTCCGAAAGGGTACACAAAAAAAGGATAATAGTAATTGCCTCAGGGAAGGGCAAGGATCTGGTAGAGAAGAGAAACTGACTTTTCACTTTGAAAGCAGAGGTCACTCTGGGTCATTCTTTGCAGCGAGCTTTTTTTGATGGTAGAAGTTATTCCAGTGGCTCTGATGACACAGAGAAGTCATCATTCAGGAAGCTTGCCTTTGGGGAAGGTAACTTCCTTACCACTTCTAAAAATTGGGAATTTTCCTCTTGATTCCATGTAACCTGAACGTGGTAATAGGTTTTACTGGAAGTTTATAAAATTCAGACACTTATGAAAATAAAGTTTTGAATCAACAGTAAGTAAAGAGTGTAGAAAACACAGACACAGATGGAAAAGAAGTTGAAAGGAGTGTATAATATCCCATCTGGAGACACTTCTGGTCTACACAGAAATAAAAAAATTGAATCATGTTGTCTATGGTTCTGTATCCTGCTTTACCAGTACAATACCCTGGAGATGGTTCCCAGGCCATTAAAATTCTTCTGTATTTTAATCGTATGAATCTACCATAATTTAGCTCAAGCCTTCCTTTGTAATTATGTTTATTATTCACTTTCACTATTATAAATATGTTGAATGACTCAAGCATAGATCTCTCTCTTGTTTCCTTAAGATAATTCTGAAAACTCTGTTAATGATCTACTTTCAGAATACAAAAGGAATCTAGAGATGAGTGCAAATTCATCACTTGGGCCTTTCCTCATTAGGTCTCCAGCATTTTCAAAGAGAACGTTAGCTGATTATTAACCCAAACTCAGTCTAAAACCTGCAATTTCAATCAGGGCTTTAAAAAAACCACCAGTTTACATTTCTAAATTGCAACACAGAAGAGAAGCTTGTTTACCAGTTACTGAAAACTCTTTGCTGAGCATATTTTTTTTTTTCTAGAGAGCTAAATGTTTGAAGTTTTCACATTTGCAATTATGATTAAAGCTATCTCAACATCAAAAGGAAAAGAAATCTTTAAATTAGTTCCTACTGCAAACTGGGTTTTAGCCAGTCATAGAATAGTCATGGCCTGTCTGGGGAGAGGTGGGCCCTTGTGCAAGGGCGGGGGTGTCCCTTCTTTGTCTCTCTGTCTCACACACACACACACACACCTGTGAGAAACTCAGTAACACAAAAAGTGTCAAATGCACTTTAGTGAGTCATGTAATTTTGGTTTTAAATGGAAAATCCATTTTTCTAGTCATTTTCAGTAGTTAGGAAAACAAATGTTAGCATCATGTTTTCAGTGAGATCCAAATCAGATCACTCAGCTGATACCAAACATTCCTCAGGATGGACCATTTAGTACTACTTTAGGGGTACAAGGATTCTAGCACATAGTAAACTCTAGACCGATGTCAAAGTCTTTCCCAGTCCTGCTTGAAATTATCTCCATCTCTATAAATTTCTGGCTCCTGGTTGGATAAGCCTGTTTCTATTTAACCCTTCCATCTGTCCTCATCTGTAGGCCCTCCGCTACCTCCTTTACCCTCAGCAGGTGTCTCTCATGGTTCAGGTACCCCATGAGCCCTCCCTTCCCCCTGTGTCGTTTCCTCCACCTCACTCCTAGTTTGCCTGAAGCACATTCGTCAGTCAGTCATCGACCTGCAGGGTAGCTGGCCCTCATGTGGTTTCTGACGTTTTTCCATCGGGCTTAGTTTTGCCAGTGAGCAGGCAACTTCCGAAGTAGGCACCAGGTTTCCCTAAAACGTATCTGCGACATATGAATTCCCTACGGCAGCCAGGAATAGAAGTGAGCGGAGCTCCCCGTTTCAGAGTACCCTTTATTTTAGGGCAAGCCACCAACAAGGAGACGCTTTGGCTCAGGGTGGGACAGCAGGCGTCACCTGAGCTCGGAATACAGCCATGCCTTCCTGAGGTCTGTTATCAGACCTGCTTCCTCGGTTCTGTAATACATCATTTAGATAATCTTCAACTGAGTGGTCTTTCAGAGTCCTGTCTCTGCAGCATCCAAAATATTTCAAACACACATTCAAGCAGACTGATGTAACTCCTTCCAAGAAAAAGAGACCTATCATTTCAGTCCTAGAAAGGCTTTACATATGTATTAATTCAAGGAGAAAGAAATGTAAAGACTCCACACTGCCTATTTTAATAATCAGCAAACTTTTCTCTCATCACCTTGCACTGTAACCATGTAAATGGGACTAGAAAGTGCTGTTGCAGAAGTACTAGCTTCTAAATCTTGGTGGCTGGCTACAGGAGCAGTACCGAGCTGAGAGCTAATAGCATCGAAGTGAGGAGTCCACCTTAGTGGCCCAAGGAATCTATTTCCTGGTTCCCCAAGTAAGCAGTGGGCAAGGAGAAGGACCAGGAGAGAAAGGATGGATCTCCTACTACTTCAAGAAGAGCAATTCAGGGGTGCTTGGGTGGCTCAGTGGGTTAAGCCTCTGCCTTCAGCTCAGGTTGTAATCTCAGGGTTTTAGGATTGAGCCCCACATCGGGCTCTCTGCTCAGCAGGGAGCCTGCTTCCCCCTGTCTCTTTGCCTGCTGCTCTGCCTAGTTGTGATCTCTCTCTCTGTCAAATAAATAAATCTTAAAAAAAAAAAAGAGAGAGCAATTCAAAGACTGCCATATACAGACAGAACTGCTAGCACATCTTGCAAAGAATGGATGTTACCCGTCTCTGTGTGGAGTGTGGAAGGAGGACCCAAATGAAAACCAGCAATTACCATGTCTTTAATGAGTAAGCCCTAAGTCATCTATCCTATTTGTCATCTGCTATATGATACGCGGATTAGCCTGAAAGTCCCCTTTCTGGACTTCGTAGCATAGGATCTCAATAACGCTCCTGAATTCTGTGGAAGTGAATCGTGCGCCACTCTCAGAGGGAGAATTTTCTTTCCTTATTTGTCCGGATGTTTGCGCACTTTTTAAGTAATATCACAAAGTAATTGTCAGTGTAATTCTGAAATGTTTGCAAAGCCTATTTTGGTGTACTTTACCAAACACCATCGAATGAGTCATACTCTACAGCAAACCCCATAAATCTGGTGAATGTACTCTAATGGGGAAAATCTATAGGGCCTCTGTTTAAATAGCTTACCCTGCAGGGTCCTTTAAGGAACAGAGGTGCATGGAATCATGGTAGGAAGCTCACTGCCATGCTCTAGAACTTAGGGCGTTTGTTAAAACTTAAAACTGAGCTTAATTAATCATCACAAATATCAGTTTTAAGCTAAGCAAATTTTATATTTCGTGAAATTTTATAAAAATGGGCATCCAAAACCAGGGTATTGGATGCAGGCTAACAGCAGGAGAGGAGTCAAACAGATGCTTAATCTTTACTGAGAGTATTCATGTTGAATTTGTCTCTTCGATCTATTTTTTTAATTTAATTTTCTCTTTTCAGCGTTCCAAGATTCATGGTTCATGCACCACACCCAGTGCTCCTTGCAATACGTGCCCTCCTTAATACCCACCACCAGGCTCTCCCCTCCTCTCACCCCCCTCCCCACCAAAACCCTCTAAGAAACATTTCTTTTCATCAATACGTTGAAGAGACTTATTTCTAGGACTGGAGGAAATAAGTCTCTTCAACGTATTGATGAAGAGAAATGTTTCTTAGTCAATACAGTGTATTAATTTGGATAACATTAATAAGATTTGGCACATTCACTTTCTTAAAAAACCATCAACCATCCTACTTAGTTGGTTTTTTTTAACTTGCTTATTTCTATTCACTTTCAGGACTGTAACTTCATTTCTTTCTTAACTTAGGTGATATCAGGATCTTTTACCCCTCATATTGAAAAATTAGTATCAAAAGACCATCTGAAATTGATAAGATTTCCAATGCTAACAATTTTATTTTGAAATTAGGCTTCAGAAGTCTCTAGAAACAGAGGAGCCTCTTTACTGGCCAGGCCAGGACACAGCCTAGTAGCTGCTATTCGAAGCCAACACCAACATGAGTCATTGCCACTAGGTACGTATCATGCTTTGGGGACCCCAGATACCCAACACTTAGCCTTTTTTTGTTGTTTTCTTGTCATGAATCTTTTAATATTTAGGATTCTGTGTTCTCTTTTTTCCTCCCCTATGGTGTAAACTACCCCTACCCTTTATTTCCATCCCCCTTGTGCCCTTTTTTCCTTTCCCTTCACTCCTCAATTTGACCTACCATCTTCCCTGTTTCTCTTCTGTTCTCTTCCAGACCCTCGTCCCCCTCTTCTGTATTCCAGTCAGTGATTTGTTAGCCGAGTCCAGGAGAGCATAGTTTAAATCAGGTGATGGGACCTGTTGCTCTTAGATGCAGTTTTTGATTTAGAACTCCCTTCTCTCGTGTATGAGATAAGTCAGCACAGTTTTCATTCCTAACCTCAGTTATCTCCTGAGATACATCCCACTTATATCAAGGGAAGTGAGGTGAGAGAGCCCCAGTGGATTTGGGTATTTCCATTATCTCTACTGGGAAATCAGCCTTGGCCACAGGTTGTCAGGGTCAAGTGCTCAAAAAAGGGTTTCTTTGAATTCATGTAGAATTTTTTGCCATAATAACTGACCAAGAGAAGTCAGAAGGAAGAGAGTACAACTCTCCTCATGGAAGAGCTATTTTATTTTCCTTCACCTGTTCACACAGGGATGAGTTAACCCGCAGTTAAGTTCCTGGAATATTAAGGATGATTAACTTAGATCTGGTTCCCTTTTGGTTTGCTCTTTTAAAAATGATAATGCTATTATGTCACAGAAAGCAACCCGCAAGAGCTTACATTTTTTGAAGAGTATGTCACCTGCCCTTCAAACTCCCGGGTTAATCCTGGTATCAAGCAGCCATTTTCCAACCATTAGAGAAATTACCTCTGGGCTGAAGACTCAACCACAACTCGCCCTTCTGTCTGTTTCAGCATATAATGACAAGATTGTGGCATTTCTTCGCCAACCAAACATTTTTGAAATGCTGCAAGAGCGTCAGCCAAGCCTGGCGAGAAACCACGCACTCAGGTAGGGGCTTGTCCCTCATCCTCTAGCTCTGGGTCTCTCCGGCTAGTCTTCCAGGTGGGACAGCACCTCCGTGGGGAGAGAACAGAAGCCTACGATGTGTTTTGTTCATGTATTTCATCATGTCTTAAATACTGAAAACGAAGGATCCGGGGGGTTCTAATATTCTCTGCAGTGTCACGATAATCGGAGCTAGCCATGTTGCTGGGTCACATACTATTCATACAATGCCAATATGATTTCCGTTGATTCGGAGGGAGGCACAGGAAAAGTAAAATAGCTTTCATGAAAGAATTATTTATGTAAAGCACCATATAAATTTTTTATTCAAGTGTTATTAACACAGTAACTAATGTTATATTAGTTTCAGGTGTACAATATAGTGATTCAGCAGTTCTGTGCATTACCCAGTGCTCATCGTGGTCCCTGTACCCTTAACCCTCTTCACTTATTTCACCCATTTCCCCACCCACCTCCCCTCATGTAACCATCAGTTTCTTCCCTGTTGTTAAGGGTCTGTTTTTTCTTTGTCTCTGTTTTGCCTTGCTTATTTGTTTTGTTTCTTAAATTCTACATGTGAGTGAGACCCTATGGTATTTTTCTCTGACTGACCTATTTTACTTGGCATTATACCATTTAGATCTATCCATGTTGTCGCACATGGCAAGAACTCATTCTTTTTATGACTGAGTAATGTTCCATTGCATATATGTACCACATCTTTATCCATTCATCTGTGGGTGGACGCTTGGATTGCATCCATATCTTGACTGTTATATATATATGCTACCATAAACACAGGGGTGCATATATCTTTTTGAATTAGTGTTTTCAATTTTGGGGGTGAATACCCACTAGTGGAATTATTAGATTGTGTAATAATTCTATTTTTAATTTTTTTTTAGGAACCTCCATACTCTTTTCCATAGTAGTGCACCAGCTTGCATTCCCACTAACACTGCTTGTGGGTTCCTTTTTCTCCACATCCCTACCAGCATTTGTTGTTTCTTGTGTTTCTGATTTTAGCCATTCTGACAGGTGTGAGGTGATGTCTCATTGTGGTACTGATTTGCATTTCCCTGATGATGAGTGATGTTGAGCATCTTTTCATGTGTCTGTTGGCCATCTGGATGTCTTCTTTAGAAAAATATCTATTCATGTCCCCTTTCCACTTTTAATTAGATTATTTAGGGAGGTTTTGATGTTGAGTTGTATAAGTTCTTTAAATATTTTGGATGTTAACCCCTTATTGGGTATATCACTTGCAAATATCTTCTCTCACTCACTACATTGTCTTTTGTTGTTGGTTTCCTTCACTTGCAAAGGCTTTTTATTTTGGCATAGTCCCAAAAGTTTATTTTTGCTTTTGTTTCCTTTGCCAAAGGAGACATATCTATAAAGATGCTTCTACAGCCAATGTCAGAGCAATTACTGCCTATGTTCTCTTTTAGGAATTTTATGGTTTTAGGTCTCACATTTAGGTCTTTAATCCATTTTAAATGTTTTATCTTTAAAATATGACAGTTAATGGTAAACCAACTATTAGATGAACATATTCAAAAATACACCAACAAGCAAACCAAAAGTATCAGAAGTATCCTGTGTTCTAACTACTTATATCTTAATATCCATTAGTGTCATTGTTGCATGAGTGTCTCTGAAACTGAATCCACTTCATTTGGAAAGGACAGCCACTCAAGGTGATAACAAGAGAACATATCCTCTGAACTTAGATCCCGCTTTCTTTGCAAGATATTCAGGTATCTCTCTGCTTCAGCTGACATTTGGAAGCTGGCTATACGTGATGGTTAAGTGTTTCCTCTTGGAGTTTGAATTCTTACTCCATCTCTTAGAGACCATTGATCTGGGCCTGTTATTCAGCCCATAGATGCCCTTGATCTCTTCAGATACAGAGTTATCATGTAGGCAGTGTGGAGATGCTTTTATGAGTATGTGTAAAGGATCAGGGAAGGTGGGCACGAGTGCAGTCACTGACTCATCATCTCCCATTTGGTGGTCTTTTGCATCTAGCTGACAACTGTAGTACTCTGCTTTGACTTCCTCAGTGAATCCCCAACACCTGAACATAGCCTCTTTGCTATTCAAATTCCTATTACTCCTGCTGGGTGGATCATTCACTGTTCTCGCCACACACACCCACACACCCTCACAGACACCTCTTTTCCCTGCTTTTTACTCCGTGTGAATTAGAATCACTGTCTTCCCCATTGCCGGATCTCCACTCTTCTCTCTTTCCCTGTCTCTACATCCAAACATCTGCCTCTCACTTCCTGTCTTCCAGCCTTTTTTTTTTTTTTTTCTTTTTCTTTCTTCCCTATCATAGCCTGTGTTTGGGTGCTCAACATTTCTCTCCTGGATTTTGTAGGGGGGTCCTAGAAGGTGTCCCCTAGATCTAGGACAAAATTACCTTCTTTTTTTTTTTTTAAGATTTTATTTATTTATTTGACAGAGATCACAAGTAGGCAGAGAGGCAGGCAGAGAGAGAGAGAGGGAAGCAGGCTCTCTGCTGAGCGGGGAACCCGATGTGGGGCTCGATCCCAGGACCCTGGGATCATGACCTGAGCCGAAAGCAGAGGCTTTAACCCACTGAGCCACCCAGGCGCCCCCAAAATTACCTTCTTATAGCACAGAATAAATCATCTTACACCGGCCTTTAAAAAAGCTTTCCACTGTGTATAAAATAAAGTCAGGATTTCTAAGCACAGTTTCCAAAGTCTGGCCCTAACCTAACTCTCCATCCCATGCTAATTTTTTCGTTCTGGTGTCTTCCACCTCCATTAAAGAAGCTGTGTCCTCTCCTTGTTCTGCCCTCTCAGGAATGGCTTTTCTCTTAAGGAACTCTCACTCCTTTTAAAGGCTCAAACCAAATGGCAAAGATTCACTGACCTAGACAAACTTCAGTACTTCTTTTGCCTTACTTTATTAGTACTTTTTTTTTTTTTGTCCTTCTACTATATTTTTTCCATTATCTCTTGAATACTGTCTGTACTGATGTCTCCCTATGATATGTAAGCTCCTTACAGCAGGACCTTCTGGTCCTTGCCTTTATATTACTCTCCCCCTCAGAACCTAGTCCTCTGCTTTGAAGATAAGAAACATTAATTACATTTAGAGTGAATGGAAGATCTGTATTGTGAACAGGTGACCTTCAGCACGAGTGATTGTCACATCCACTTCTGTTCGCTCTGCCCATTTTATTACTGTGCCACAGAAGGCAGTGCCATTCTCAGTCATATGGGTCATTTATTTGTGGGCTACTCTATGACTCACACACAGTATATCATAATTTAAGGGAATTTCCAAAGGATTTTCAGAGGGATTGTACTCTCTGGAAAGTTTCTGAGAGATTGCTGCTCTTAAACATTTTATATGTTACTGATTCTGTTACTAAGTAATGAGTTCACAGCTAATTCTTTTGAGGAATTTGAACTCACCAAAGGCACTAGAGTCTCATTTAAGTCATCTTTAAAAGTGAAAAATGTAATCCCGTGGGTAAAAGAGTGAGAGTAAACTATTTTCAGCACTATTGCACAGTCTTGCATTATAACAAAATTCAAGAAACCTTAAAGGCTTTGTTGCAGTGCAGAATTGTACAATTACAATTTTCCAGATATGGGGGAGCTTGGAATTAAGACATCTTGTAATTGGAAAACATCTTGGCAATTATTTAGTACAGAAACTAATAGCGTCTTTAAGATTATGGACTCCTTTAAGGACCTGTAGGCCCAGGATGAGAGCCCGAATAGCTCATCAAAAGCAGAAGGCCCACAGTAACTAAGAAGCTATGGACTAAAAAAGGGACTAAAAAGGACTAAAAAAGGACTAAAAAAGGACTAAAAAAGTAAGAGGAAGAAACTGCTCTTCAGGGAGGCAGGCTTCCAGGAGCCAGGAAGCTAGGCATTACTTGCTATGACTGGGCCTGTGCTTGCCCCTGAGTGTGACAGGAGGGTGAGTCAGCTCTATTTTAAAAGCCCAGAGGTTAAAAAGAAAACCTTCTTTCCCCATGACACTGTTCAGAGGAAGAAATTACTGCTTCCTCTGTGGTCTCCAGGTGGGGCTGTGACCCCTGTTCAGCCTTGCTCTTCTCAGGGAGCCATGGATTCACTATCGTGGGTCCACAAAGCCAGTTTCTGGGTTAAAGGGTGGAGGGTGAGTCCTCAGAAAACTGTTCAGCAGACAGCAGTGAATCATAAGGAAGCCACATGTGGAAAGGGAAGATGGAGCCGGAAAACCCAGCGGCTAATGACATTTCTTCACTTTAAGGATCATGGTAGCAGTTTTCATTCATTCATTCTTCCTTCACCTGGTGTTTTTATTGTGCCGGTGTTCTGAATCAGAACTGTGGGAGGCTGTGTACACAGTAGCAAAACAAAGCAGACATTGGCCCTACTTTGCATGGTATTTGCCATCTATTGAGGAAGGCAGATGATAGGCAAGTTTGCCTTTTTTTTTTTTTTCCTTAAGCCAAATATATAGCTATAGAATGTGTTAAAGGCCACAAAGGACAAGATCAGAGTTGAGCGATAAAGACAAAAGAACGTCAAGGATTTCATTTGGATATTAAGTTTTGAGGTCACAAAGGGAGATGTCAAGATGTCAAGGAGGCAGGTGACTCTAGTGAACAGAGTCTTGGAGGAGAGTTTTGCACCCGAGTTTTCCTGGTAGGCAAGGGTTATGTGTAGGAGAGGTATTCTAACCTTTAGAGATCCTTCCCAGTGCCAGTACTTTTGGGATTGAGTCCCAGGGGCATTTGGAGGCCCCCACCCCAGACGACTGGGTCTGCATGAAATTTTCATAGACATGACAGAAGGTGCTATGTCCTGTGGAGAGCCACTGAAAGTCTCAGAAAACTGTGTTCAGCTTTCTCATATATGGATGTGGTTCATGTGGACAGTGGGATAATAGAACCACTACAGGTCAGTGCCACTTTCTGTGGGCACTCTGCTGCCCTAGTAGAGTTGGCCTGCTTTGGACTTCATGTCCTCAGGGACACTGGGAACAAAGGGCAATCCCTAGAATGTTCTTCCCATTTTTCCTCCAGACAAAGAGACCAGGGGCTTTCCCACATAGAGGTTCCTTGGGGAATGGGATGATCGGCCCCAGAGGCATTGTCTTTGGAAGGACATAAATTTGAGAGTCCTTTGTGAGGCCGAGTCGGCAAACCAGGGGAGCAGATCCACCAGTCTTCCAAACAAGAGTTCTGTGAGGTGGTATCAGGATTTAGAGGCCAACGCTCAGGAACATGGAGTCGAGAACAGGAACATGAAGGGAGAGACAGCTGGTGGAGGAGGCATGGTGCTTGCACGCTCTGCTGAGCTTCCGCATCTTCCCTGCAAAATGGTGTGTAGACAGTTCCGCTCCGTTTCTCAAAACCCCAGTCAGTGAAGACACTGTGAACATCCCCCAGGTTTTGAGGGGCTACCTATACTGAGAGGTTGAGTCACAGTGCATTTCTCTGTTTAATCTTATTTTGCATATCTTTGTAGAGGCCCAAATTTTCCCTTTTCAAAAATACGCCCACCAAAAGGTCAAATTTATTATATTGTTGCCTGAAAATATGCAAGTAATGATGAGGATTTGGGGTCACATTAATATCATCGGAGAGAGGAAAAAATGGGGGATTTATTCCCTAACTTACCTGTTGGTAATTCATACTTTGTTTCCCACACTATTCTAGGGAGAAAATCCATTACATTCGGACTGAGGGTAATCATGGGCTTGAAAAGTTGTCCTGTGATGCAGATCTAGTCATTTTGCTAAGGTAAGGGCTACGCCTGAAACGCTTCTAGAAAGGCTGCTCTGGGCAGTCTTCCTGCACTACAGCTATGACTGAAACACTCCCTGTTTGTTCTAGAGGATTCTGCTGGCTACAACTAAAGTAGGGCCCCCACCCTTGTCCCTGCTGTCCATTGCCTCCTTTACATTTACAACTGGGGTATCAAGAACTGTGCATAGTCCTTGATAGAGACCATTATGTCAGGATTATTTAGGGTTTAAAATAACGCTGAGAATATTGCATGCCGGCATCTGCCTACCTAAGTGAACCTGAGTGCTTTTGTTGTTGCCTCGTGAGAGCCATAACCACTGTTACCCCAGTTCATGAATATTCTCTCCTGGACAGAAAACTTTTTTCCTTTCTTCTTCTTCCTTCTCCTCTGCTTCTTCTCATTTCTCGTCTTCTTTTTTGCTTTGCAGTCTCTTTGAAGAAGAGATTATGTCCTACGTCCCACTGCAGGCTGCCTTCCTCCCCGGGTACAGCTTCTCTCCCCGCTGTTCACCCTGCTCCTCACCTCAGAACTCCCCAGGTAACTTGAGTGTCTGGCATTCTGTCTCCTGTCAGTCGCCACCCGCGTTTCCCCCAGACGGAGGTGGGAGAAGGGCAGTTGTATACGTGCCCTCTCTCTCTTCCTCCCTCTCAATTTTCTGATTGAAAGCATACTGCCAAGATTGGGTGTTGACAGTTTGCGGCCTGTTTGTGTAATACTGCGTTCTACTTTTTTTTTTGAAGATTTCATTTATTTATTTGACACAGAGAGAGATCACAAGTAGGCAGAGAGACAGGCGGGGAGAGAGAGAGAGAGGGAGGGAGAAGCAGGCTCCCCGCTGAGCCGAGAGCCTGATGTGGAGCTCGATCCCAGGACCCTGAGATTATGACCTGAGTCAAAGGCAGAGGCTTAACCCACTGAGCCACCCAGGAGCCCCTATGTTCTACATTTTTAAATAATTGGAAAACCTTTTTTTACAAAAACAGTATTTCATGACATGTGAACATTCTGTGAAATTCAAATCTCAGTGTCCGTAAATAGAATGTTGTTGGACCCCTGCCACACCTGTTCATTTGTGTGTTTTCTGTAGCAACTTTCACACTATGCGGGCGTAGAGGAGTAATCACGATGAGACCAGATGGCTGCAAAAGCTTAAAATATTTACTATCTGGCCCCTCACAGGAAAAGGTCTGCTGACCCTGCTCTAAATTGCTTTTGTATCCCAAGGTACTCCGCAGGCATTTAGAAGGGAAGAACCATTTCCAAAACATTCTGCCTTATGACTCAGAATGTTACTAGATACCAATTTTGGTAACTTTTTGCTAAGATGTAAAGGAATTGCTCAGTGATATGGTTACTGGAGGCCACCATAATGTCCCCCATGAAGACGTTGAAGAATTTTCTTACATGCACAATTGTTCCCCCACTGTTTTCTCTTATGTATTAGGATTAATTTACTCATGATACAGAAATTCTTTATAGGTATCTTCCATTCCAAATAAGGAAATGAATAACTGAACTCTTTAGTGACAAAGGGTTCATCAAATCTAATCAAAATGATTAGTTTAAGTAAAATCCATACTCCCAAATGGGATCCAGACATTGGAGAGTTTTTCCTCAGTTACTTGGTTTACAATACCACCTTGGTCAGAGTCTTGGTGGTAAACCCAAATTTCTTTTTATAGCTTAAAAAGTAAAGGGATTTAGTTATAAAAACGTAGTAGGTAGGTGACTGGGTGGTGGGCATTAAGGAGGGCACGTGATCTGATGAGCACTAGGTGTTATACGCAACGAATGAATCATTGAACACAACATCAAAAACTAATGATGTATAAAACTGAATGGGAAGAAATCTGAGAGGGAGACAAGCCATGAGAGACTATAGACTCCCGGAAACAAACTGAAGGTTTGAGAAGGGAGAAGCGTGGGGGGATTGGTAGCTGGGTGATGGGTATCAAGGAAGGCACATGTTGCGAAGAGCACTGGGTATTCTACGCAACTCATTGAACTCAACTCATTGAACACTGTCCAAAACTAATTATCTACTATATGTTGCCTAACTGAACACAATAAAAAAAAAACTAATGATGTACTGTATATTGGCTAATTGAACTTAATTTTAAAAAGAATGAAGGAAGGAGAAAAATAATAAAATAAAAATCTAGTAGGTTCATATCTCACAGCCTCTAGAGTCTGTCCAAGCTTAGTTTTTGAAGCCACTGGAGAAAGTCACAAGAGAGAGATTATAGCAGTGTGTTCCATTCCTCCGAAGGGATGTCTCACTCGGCATTACTTGGATCTGCTGCGGGTCTCTAAAACAAATATATTAGTTTGGCTCCTCCAAGTCATGTCACTCAGAATTATCTCTTAGAGGTAATTTTATTAATTGCTAGAATCTGTTTCTAAGTCAGTATCTCCTCATTGTCACTTCCTCCAAACCAGTGCACCAAAGGCTTAGTTAAGGACATACAGTGTAATTGAGATGCCGTGGCCTGGGAAAGGAGGATGAGGAGCTTTGCCTGAGCCAACATCAGGACAGCCAAATGTTTCTGGTGCACACAGGATGACTTACTTTTGGGGAGCAGAGCCTTCCATTTGGGGACAACTGTGGGTCTCCACCATGATCTTTCATTTTATCATAGATATTGTCCTAGCCTGATAAAGTTTATCTGCACTTTGGTTCAAACAGTTGACAGTAGAGTATGATTTTAACATCTTGACATGGGGGAGATATCATAGTACAAATAGAAAAATAAAAGAGAATAAAGAGTTATTTGCTAAATGATAATTATTTGCATAACTTTTATAAAAGGCATCAGCTTTCCTAATAAGACATTACTAATACCACGAACCCAAATAATCATCCAACTCATTTTAATTTTTAATTCTCCTAGCTCTGATCATGGGGTCCTAGATTATATAATCCAAATATTTTGATGCTAAATTTTATAATTCCCATATTTTTAGACCTTCATGAAATTTACCTCAGTGCTACAGAGATAGCAAATCACAAATATTTATGCCAAAGTACTTTGTAAAGCATAAATTATTAGAAAAATACATAGTAGTGATCATGGGCATTGTGGTAGTACCAGCAGTAATAGAAGTCATATTATAAAATACACTGCATTCTACAGGGCAGAAAATGCTACTTGCACCTCAAGACTTGTATTCTAGTTGAACCTGTAGCCTGAAACCTGTCATTTCACTTAGGATAGCTCTTTTCAAGTGGTGGCTGTTGGTTCCCTTACACTCAGGTGCTGGGGGGCACAAAGGTGAGGCTAGGGCCCTTCACGCTTCCTTGATTATACTACTCAGCTGTCCCTCCCCACCACCCCCAGTTGCTGTCATCTCCCAGCCTTTCTGTCATTCTCAAAGACTGCGGAACCTGTCTCATAATCTCCCTCTCCTTCTCAAGTGCTTCCATCATCCTGAATGACTTCAGCATACACAAAGACACCCATTCATTTCCCTGGGCTCCTGGTTTCTGGAATTTCTGGTCTGCAATGACCTTCCCCCCAGTGCAACCACTTGTTCCCACAGTCATCTTCCCACCCCTGTCGTTATCTCTAAAATCACTGATTCAAGCATCTTACTCCCATCCAACATGCTTGTTCAACTACTCTCCCCATTACTGTCCCTTGTCCTCATCAGGACCTTAGTTCATGCATGTCTCTCCTTTCCTTTCTGTTCTTCCCTTACCCAGCATAAATTCCACAGTTCATTTTCTTCGTAACATCTGTGCCAATGGCCTCAACTCCCCAGTCCTCTCCATTTTGTTTGCAGAACTCTGCCCCTTGATAAACATACTATGCTTCCTCTGCATCTATGCTCAGGACTTCTTGGGCAAATTCATCTGACAGGGCAGATTACAAACTATATGTTAGTCATCTCTCACCTCACCTGGACCTTGAATACCCAAAAGAAAACTTGACCATGTTTCCTAGGTTTATTTTTTCTTTTTTTTTTTTTTTTTTTTTTTTTTTTTTAGAGAGAGAGCGTGCAGGGGGAGGGGCCCAACACAGGGCTTGATCTCAAAACCCTGGGATCATGACCTCTGAGCCAAAATCAAGAGTCAGACACTTAACCAACTAAGCCACCCAGGTGCCCCCTTGCCCCCTACTGCTATATTGAATGTTTATGCGCCCCTCAAAACTCCAGCTCTCTGTGTCTCTCCTAGCAAATGATGTCCCTTCTCCCTTTACTGAGAAAACTGAAGCCATTAGGTAGACATTTTCTCAAATGCCTGCTGCCAATCCTACAAGCCTTCCAAGCCTACCCCTCCTTCCACTCCACACTGGGGCATCAGAGGACCTGCCTTCACTAAGGTCACCATGACCTCCAGACACGCAGTCCAGTGGGTAATTCTCACATTTAACATTAAGCCACATTTGACATTACTGATTGCTCTCCCTCTTAAGTCACCTCTTCAGTAAGCTTCTGTGACACTACTATATGCATGTCAACTACTTCTTTGGCCACCAGTGCAGACTCATCCTTCACTTCCTGCCATGCCCAAAACTCAGTCCCAGGTTTCTTCTCTTCTCTCTCTCGAACCATGTCTCTTTCCAATTAGACATTCAAGGGTAACACCATCAAAGACTAAGCTCCCCACCCCCGAGATTTGTTCTTCTTTCATTGTCCCCATCTCAGTGATTATCAGTGCAGTTCCTTCAATTACAAAAATCTAAAGCCCACCTCTCCCTCACTGCCTATGTCCAGTTCATTGCCTCCTAAACACACCACAGTCTATCCCCTCCTCACCTCCACTGACACCACCCTTGTCCAGTTTAGGCTCTCTAAATCCACCCCAGTCCTCTCATTTTTCTCTCTGCTGCAGAAAGACTAATGTTTTCATAACTCAATTGTCATCCTGTCTGTCAGTCCTCGTGCAGTGGCTTCCTACTGTGCTTAGTATTAAACAGAATTGTTTAGCAGAATGGACCTTATCCTTTTGATCATCCACCCACCTCGCAAACCTTGTTTGCATCACTCTGATCCATGTACCCTGAGCCCCACTTTCCATTCTGCCTCAGTACATTTGTACATGCTGATCTTCTACCTAGACAGCTCTTCTCCCAGCTCATCTCGTGTCTTAATTAAAGAGAAGCCTTTCCCAACTAATTCAGTCTAATTCATGCTTACTTATTCTTCCCCAGGGAATATTCCCCAGGGAAGCCTTCCCAAACTTGGCCAGAGTGTTCTCTGATATCAAAGAACTGAGTTCCTTTCCTTCATAGCTAGCAGTCATCTCAACTTGTAATTATATTGTCCTTCCTGTGAGTTTATTGGTATCAGTCTTCTTTAGAATATTATTCAATACCTGGAATATAGTGGTTATTGAAGGGGCAGGCCATGATTCTGGTCATCTGTAAAACTTGGAGAAGAATGTTATTTTTTCCACTACTTTTCTCTTTAAAAAGTATATAAGGATAACAAAGCATTCACAAAACAGTGATATAAAAACTCTTTTCTAAATAGAATCAGCAAGTCGTCATTATTATTATTATTATTATTATTATTATAAATGTTTCCTCTATAATACAAGATAGTCTAATATAAAGTTTTCAATGCCCTGGGCCCTACAGGACACCTCTGTTTATTTTAGGGTCAGTATAGTTAGACAAGTACGACATACACATGTGTTAGTCTGAGTTGCCTCGTTATAGTTACAATCACTTATTATAACATAGAAACTTACAAGAAAAATTTAGACTAGTTTGATATGTTGATTTAGATTATTTAAGTACAGTTCAGCCAACAGATATGCTGACCAAGGTATTGTTAAGAGAAATACAACTTGAGGTGGAGTGGAAGACTTAAATGTTTATTGTCATCAGAATTCATTTTTCTCTTTATTATATTACTTCCATTTATTACAAAAGAAACTGAAAGAGTAATGGAAATCAAAGGAAGCTTTTTTGAGAGGAAAAATAAGACATAGGAATGTGCCTCTGGTTGGCCCTTCTTCTGACATTGCTCCACATATCAGCGATGACCTTCAGACCGTGTGCTTCTCTCTGCAGGCTTACAGAGAGCCAGTGCAAGAGCCCCTTCACCCTACCGGAGAGACTTTGAAGCCAAGCTCCGAAATTTCTACCGAAAATTGGAAGCCAAAGGATTTGGTCAGGGTCCAGGGAAAATTAAGTGAGTGTTCCAATGCTTGTTCACCGAATTTGGATGCTAGATGTTCCTATCCTTTTCTCCTCTATATCTTTGTGATACTTTTTGGAGATTGGATTCCATGGTGTGGTAACAGTTATGTTCATAGAAAGGAGGAAGGTTAAAAAAATAAAAGTTGGGAAGAAGGAAGGAAGTTAAATTGGAAGAGAAGCAGGAAGGAAGGAAAGAGAAGAGAAGGAGAGAGAGAAAAAACATTTCAGACAAAGGCATATACAAAATTAATGGTAGACCTTTCCAGAAAACCAAGAATCTTGAACTAAATTTTAAAAATTATGTATTTCCTCTTACTTATTCTTGGAGCAAATTTAATTCATTGGTCAAATTCATACATTCTGTAACTTTGTAACAGACGTCTAAGTGAATAGTTATATTTATCCCCCCTGGGTTTATTGTGTTCATCTTTAAAAACTAAATCTTAACTCAGAATCCAACTTAAGAGATTCTCTTTGGAATTGATCAAAAGAATCCTAAAAGTAGGGCAATATGATGGAGGGCATCCAATTATAAAAACGTACGTGTTGTCCTTGCGCTCCCAGTGTTTTGAAAAGAGCATTAAAATAAGTCCATTGCTGAACTCGTGGGATCTGCACCAAGTTGGAGAGGCCAACGAGGAGAGGCCTCCTTGTGAGCGCCAAGCCAGACCATAAGCTTGGCCCCTCACAACTCATCTAGAGCACTCTCCAACATCAGAGCCCAGAGCCACTACTCACTGCCCACATGGCTTCTTCCCAGGCTCATCATTCGTCGGGACCATTTGTTGGAGGGAACCTTCAATCAGGTGATGGCCTATTCCCGGAAGGAGCTTCAGCGAAACAAACTCTACGTCACCTTTGTTGGAGAGGAGGGGTGAGGCACCAGCAGTTTTATGCAGACACCTCATTCAGTGTGGGCAGGCCAGAGTCACCAGATCTTCGTGATTTTTCTCAAAAAAGAGCAGGGTAGCTCTTAGCCTTTGCCCCAGGGTGATTCTGATCATGTCCTTCTAGGAGGTCTTTCTCTCTCCAGGCATTGCCAAACTTTAGAATTATGTTCTTCAAAAGCCCAAGATTATTGGCTTGTGCTAGAGTCTGAGGTTACACATTTATACTGTGCATAAGCAAAAATTCAGACTTAAGCTATTGGATCTTTACTTTTTCAGGTTGTGTACACTTTTGATCAAAAAGCTCTTCCTCCTAGAGTGCACATAAAGAACTACATAGCAAATTTTCCCTAGCATTTCAGTGATTTTGTGAAAAACCATCTCCAACACTGGAAGATAAGCCTACCTAGGAGGACGTATCACAACAAACTTGGAAGTTTTCTTGGTTCTCACACAGGTACTATCATGGGAAACTCTTTTATGCCTCTCACAGCAAGCTCTTTCTTTTAAATGGGCCAGCTGTGTGTTTTATCCAGTAGGATCATATGATTGAATAAAGGCTAAGAAACACTTGCATAAGAATTTATTCATGGACATCTAGTAAGAAACATCCCGAAACTGCTTCCTCACTTTCTGCAGCAGATTATGCTCCCACAGGCATCCACTGTAAGGATCAGAGGCCGCTCTCTGCTGTCCCTACACTGACTGAAAGAACAGACTAGCACCTGGGTAGAAACAGGCCCCTCCCCCGACAAGTAACGGGCTTCTTGGGCCTCTGCTTCCTTTGCAGCCTGGACTACAGTGGTCCTTCGCGAGAGTTCTTCTTCCTTTTGTCTCAGGAGCTATTCAACCCTTACTACGGACTCTTTGAGTACTCTGCAAATGATACCTACACAGTGCAGATCAGCCCCATGTCCGCGTTTGTGGAAAACCATCTTGAATGGTAAGATCTGGAAGGCTCACTTTCTCTGCTCAAAAGTTCTGGTTTTTCTTAGTCAGACGTCAGTAGTACTGACTTGAGCAGCACTATTTCTTGTTTAGAGCAGTGGGCCAGATACTAAGAGGGGTAATGAGAGTGAACAAGAAAGCCCTAGAAAGAAGATTCTGTTAGTTTTCACCCAGAACATGAAAGGAATTACTAAAGACACTGCAGATTTACTATCAACGGCAAATCGCTAAAAGAGCCAGTAATTGCCTTCTGAGGAAACACTGAGGTAAGTAGAAGTAGTTGAATGTTGAAATGTTTACCAAATGTTGAAAATCTACTAAAATCCTGAGAGTCCCCAGTGGAGGCTTCTTGGAGGTATTCACTGGGTTGGACATGTTCTTGACGGTGGACCAGTGGCTCTAGAACTGTCAATATCAGCTTGTGCCTCTTACTGTGAAGCAAGTAAGGCTGCTGGGCCGGGTGCTCTCCAAACACCCTCCGGCTTGAAAATCCATTATTTCTTTGGTTCTGTTTTATGGAGGCATCCATTACCACTTACCGAGATGTGTAAGAAGATAACTGTCAGTCAACTGTCTGCCATTCTGTGTGTGAGATACCTCGGATGTGGGTATTAGAAGTCTCCAGAAAGTTGCATCGTACATCTAGGATGCAAGCTTCTTCCTGCTGTGGCACCACCACACCTGATTTGAAAAGTATTCCTACTCTTACTGTAGGAGCTACTGCTGTTAAGAGGGAAATGAGTCCTATAAACTGATAATATCTTACGTTGCTCATTTTTGATGTGTTGTGACAGCTGCTGGGGGAGGGAGCTCCTGGGGTGATCCCTGGCCTCCTAGCTTAGAGCCCCGATGCCCATATTTTGATGTATAGCATCAGAATAACCCACCTCTGCTAAGACTTAGAGCTATCGCACGTGTCCTCTCTCTCCAAAAACCCTTAGCTCGGAAGTTCTTGAGCAGAGCCACAGTGTATCTGCACTCAGTGTTTGGCCCAAGTGAGGAACCCAAAGTTGCCCATTGTTGTTCCATTTCCTGTTTATCCATAAGTGGACGCTGAAGTCTGTGAGGCAGAAGCACAGAGGCAGGGCAGGCGGAGAGTGCAAGTGGCCACTAAGGGGGTTTGTGACCCTGAGAATTGAAGGCCAGCTCGGACTTAGGTCACATCAGGCGGGGTTCATTCCAACAGTAGAGAGCGGGGTGGCACCCACGACACGAGAGTACATGCATATGCGCATTATCCTCAGTACAGTCCCTCAATTATCCCTTAGTTTGCGAGCGTGACATTTAAGATGGTATCTTAGAAGTAGTGACTTACAGTCAGCGATCAAGAAAGAAATATTTCCTTCAAATATATGACTGTGCTAAGGTGTTGTGGGGATGTCTTCATTAATTTAGCATTGACGAACCAAACACACACTGTGTGCCAGGGAGATACAAAGATGAAATGAGGAAGCTCTTTCCCCCCACCAGAGTGGTGGAGTGCTGGGGAGCAGCACATGCGTAGACCCAACAGCTGTGCTGCAGTGTCTTAAATGCCATGCTACACATACTTCACACACATGCACACGTGTGTATAAGCCTGGGATGCATACATAAGCCTGAGAATTGTATTAAATTATATAAAATTGTACTACATTGTATTAAAGCCATGTATTAAAACACGTACAACTCTCAAAACCACTCCACACAAGGTGGGGTGTGGGGGGTGGGGGGTGAAGCCAGTGGATCTTACAAAAAGAGGGGATGAGAGACTCAGCAGAGAAGGGGAGGGAAGATATGCCCAGGAACCAAATAGGGATTAAGAACTGAAAAGCATGAGAGTGAATGGAGCTTCCGCAAGCAGGGCAGACATATCAGAGCAGAGAATGACCTCAGGGTTGTGGTGGGAAGTGGGGCTGGGGCAGAAGAGGCAGTTGGTCATAACCCACGTGGAGTATACTGTAATGAGATTTGTGGTTTTGAAAAGTAAATCTTGCCGTTGCGGGGAGACACATTTGAGGAGGTAAGACTGGAAAGAGTGAAACCAGCTCTAAAGCTGTTGATGAGTCAAGGGGTTCACACTCAGGCAGAGGTGGTGTCCCAGGAAGGAAGAGGCTGGCTTGAGGGGCATCTTGGAGGGAGAAGAGATTGAACTAGTTGGCTCACAGAAGTAATGGAGCCTCGAGGGAAGGAGAGAAGCATAGCGTATGTCCAGGGTTGCCTGGTTGGGTGGGCCGATACTACTGGCTGTGATGGGAGTTACGTGAGGTAAACGGTACTCAAAGATTTTATTTATTTAATTGAGAGAGAGAGAGAGAGAGAGAGCACATGGGCAGAAGGGACAGGGAGAGGGAGAGATGGTCTGAAGCAGCCTCCCACCAAGTGCAAAGCCCAGCACGGGGCTCGATCTCACCACCACAGGGAGATCATGACCTGAGCCAAACCAAGAGTCAGATGCTCCACTGACTGACCCCCCAGGTGCCCCCCAATGATATTTAGAGGAAAGATGAGGAATTCACCCTTTGGCCAGTAGTTTGCACTTTCTTCTCTAAGGACAGGTTGATGTGTTATGTAACTAGAACTATGGCCCTGGTGAGCTGGAGAGCAGCCGGGCTAGAAACTGAGATTGCGGAGTGGCTGCACTTTGAGAGGAGAGAAGAGAGGTCCTCGGAGCTTGTGCAGACGATGAGCAGAGCCAAGGCCCACAAGACGGGGACAGCACGGGACAGCGCGGACAGCGCGGGTTCGCCGGGCATGGGCAGACCCTGAGAGAGCTAAGAAGGAAGAACCCGAGAGCTGAGCTCCTGGGAGGAGCATGACGAGGGAAGGAGCGCACTGGTGGGAGCAGAAGGTGCTCAGGAGACGCCTGCTGGGGACAGGGGAGGCAGTCTGGATGGGGGGGAGGCAGAGGGGACATGTAGGCAGCAGAATGGGGTCTGTAGGGCTCCAGAACCTGGCATTTGGTGGACAGAAATGAGGGGATCCAGGAAGGGCATTCAGATGACCAAGGAGGCTACATTTGGATGGTGGCACAGGTTAAGCAGGGTCAGCGCCATAGTGGCATTGTTGGGACCCAGAGTTTTGAAGGCAACCTTGCAGTCAAGCATGTTTTAGTGCAAACACAGAGCAAGGCCGCACACGAAGACTTGAGCTTGCTCCCTGGGAGTGGCCTCAGTCACTTTCCACTGGGGAGGGTGGCTAGCCCGCCGCCCAGCCCCTGCTCTCACACCGGACTCGGGTGCCTTCTGCTCACCTCTGGCATGAGCGGCGGAGGACAGCCGTGTCGATGTGTAAGTTACACTTCACTGCAGTGAGGAAGGGGACTGTTACACAGGGGTGTTGCAAGCATTCGCAGAGTTCTCTGGGTGAATGCTTTATAAACACCAGAGGCCCAGAAGTAGGTGCCCTGGAGGTGCTAACCGTTGCTTTCCAGAGGGAAGTACCTGGGGACTTTGCTCTGCCAAGGTCCCTACTCGTGTTGAGTATATTGGCTGTGCGGCCTAGAACAAAGCTGCAGGTAGCTTTCTGAGCAGCTCGCCATTTCCACGGAGCCCTGGCGGACGAGGCCGCTGTAGTGCTGTACGTTGGAGGGAGAATCGCTGTAAGGTGAGCAGGGACTTCCCCTTTGATGCAGGGCAGAAACTGGAAACTTCCAGTCCTCCACACCCTGGGCCAGTAGAGACATGGGGATGCAGAACGAGCACAGGAGCTGGACAGCACAGGGAGCCTCACGGAGACTCGGACCCGTCTCTCGTCTGCGCGTAGGGGGCCTGGGAGCGGGGAGCAAGCTTGCTGGGCGGTCAGAGCCATGGCTGAGAAAACTCGAGCCACTAGGGCACAGCCTGCTTTAGCTTTAGATGGGAAGCCCTGCTGGGCTGTGGGCATCGCAGCGAATATTCCTTCTGGGTGTCTTGATAGGAGCTGTCCTTGTGCCTAGTAGCAAATAGTTTTACAAAGAAAACTGAGGGCGCCTCGGTGGCTCAGTGGGTTAAGCCTCTGTCTTCCGCTCAGGTCATGATCTCAGGGTCCTGGGATCGAGCCCCGCATCGGGCTCTCTGCTCAGCAGGGAGCCTGCTTCTCCCTCCCCTCTCTCTGCCTGCCTCTCCGCCTACTTGTGATTTCTATAAAATAAATAAATAAAATCTTTAAAAAAAAAAAAAAAAGAAAGAAAGAAAGGAAAACTGAGCACCCTGAAGTGCTCGGTCAGTTCTTTGGCAGACATTTTAAAGAGGGGCACCAAGGAGAGCTCACATCTTGGAGTCACTCTGGGCCTTACACAATGGGTGAGCACCGAGTGGGTGCCAAGGCCCCTGCCTGAGGCTTTGTCAGTGTCACTCCTGCAACTGGGAGATGATGACACGGTGGAGTTCGTCCATGAATCCTGAGTTCTCGACCCTCAAAGCAGGTGCCACACCCCACGCCAGCAGGATGGGCGGGGCTGTGGCTGATCTCTGGTCTAGGTGCAGGGCTCTCCTTCCTTCCTCACTCCCAGGACTCTTTCTCCCACGATCCACGTGGGCTGTCAGGAGGATGATTCTTGCTGTGACCAATACATCATACATTCGCAGACCAAAAGCAGAAAGCAGACCAAAAGAGTAGAGGACCCATCATGGTTGCAGCCTTGATTTTGTAAAGCTGGAAATTGTCCCCGAAGCAGAACAGGCCTGGGCAGGGGTCTGCCTGGAAGGAGGAGTGACTCCCGCCCACTGCCCACCTCTTCACTCTACACACCAGAAATAAACAGAGAGAAAACTCATCAGGTTTACAGGATCCCAACATCACCCAGGATGGAAACCTTGCTCAGGTGTGGCTGGAGGAGGCATCCTTGCACTGGTCTTTTTTCTTTCTTTCTTTCTTTGTGTTTTCTGATCTTTATCTGTCACTGGCCTTCCTCTTTGTCCCATACTCTGATTTATGTGATTCTCCCTTGAAAATACCTTCATCGGAGCAGAGACGGGTCTGTCTTATTTTTACTCTAGCACATGCCTGCCAATTTGAAGTGTTAAAATAACATGT